GCTGAATTTTTGAATGAAAATCGGAACTCTACAGACAAAGTGAAAGAAGTAGGTGATCAAGTTCAAGATAGTGGACCTTCTCATATAAAAGCATGCAATCCATTAGATTTCGCAATGAATTGGCTAGAACGTCAAAATGATGTTGATCCAGTTCAGTTGATTTATTTAAAAAGAATAAGGGATAAATGGCTGCTAAAAAAAACGCGTCTTCTTTGAAACGAGATCTTTGCTGGATTTCTTTTGAAAATGGAAAATAATGAAAAATGTTTTAAAATCAGTAATTAACAAAAAAATTATAAAAAACTGAAATATGATAAAAATAATTGAAAATGAAAAAAAACATTTAATTAAAAATATTTAAAAATTGAAAAAGGAAAAAAAATTTAAACACGCCAGAGCTATTCTAGATAGTACTGCCAGTCCTAAGCCTACAAAAGGTGCGAAGGGAAGTTAATGCATAAATAAGAATCATTTACACTAGATTTTAAACAACTTTCCAATTATCCGAACTTTTAATTATCCGAACCATGTTCGGTCCCGAGCAGTTCGGATAATCGGCGCTCTACTGTATTAATTTTCAGCCAATTAAATAAAAAAATTTAAAAAATATAAAAACTTAAAATTCAAATCAATTTGGGGTGCTTATTGGACTGATGGACCCATCTATGATAAGATAAAGGTCGCCAGGCCAACCTTTCTCGACCTGAAAAAAATTATACTGACTAACCACACACATGGTGTCGAAATTCAAAAATCAAGAAGAAAAAAATTATAGCGTCATTCAACATTTGCGGGTAGGTTCTCGTTCTGTGACGTCATTCATCCTCAGCCATTTACCCCTTATTAGGGAATTGTCGCTTGCATGAAGTGATTTCTAGATCTAAAATGGGAAATTCGGTAAAACATGACCCAGCCACCAGCCAATATTATGAAACATACAATCTTTCTGTGAAAATTAAATAAAAATTAGATTAATTTAAAGATTTCTCTCCCTTTATCTAAACTCCTTTAAAGGTTGAGTTAAGTCAAAAGAAACGAAACATCTTAAGAAGCAGAGTTTTAAATTTTTTTGTTAACTGATGTCAAAAATTAAATAAATGTGCATTAATAAATATCCATTCAATGAAATCAGCACTTTTTTCAGAAATAAAATCATTCTAAGAAAAAGGATTACTTTTCATTTATAATTTACATATATGCATAAAATTATGTATACAATAAAATCATACACCAAATTTTAATTTTATACATAAATATATATATATACACACACATACATATGAAGTTTCAGTAGCTCCTAAAAAATAAGGTTTTTAAAATTGATTAGCCAATTAAATCATAAATCATTAAAATAGTTAACTTACTAGAAAATTCTGCTTGCGCTATATCAAAAATAAATTACAACACCATTTAGTAACTAACATTTTAAATTAAGGATCTTCTTCAGACAAAAATGGGATTTTAACTTATGGAGAATTATATAAGCGTAATTTGTTCATTGATAAAGTAACTAATAATTATTTTTGAATATTTTCTATTTAATTTTATTCATTGAAATGCAGTCTGTGAAACTTGGTTACTAAATTTTAAAAAAGTTATTTAAAAGTTTTAATTTAAAAAATATTTACAACCTTAAAATTAAAAATTTGATAACAAGATCCAGCAGAATGCATATATAAATGAATAAAACTAAACAAAAAATATTAATTACTGAATAACTAAAGATATTAGGCTCAAGTAGTTCTCTGTAATTAATATGAAGGAAGTAAAATCCCTTTTCCGTTTGAAGGGAACTCTTAACTCTAAAAACAGTGCAAACAGACACTAAAACATAAATTTGCTAATAAAATTTATGGAAAACAACTCTCCCCAAATCCCTAATGAGTAAGGTTTGAAAATCTTGTTAACAATACTTGGCTTTTATTGAAAAGCTGCAAATTTATAGTAAGAATAGTAAAAAAAAGAAAGAAAGAAAAAATACTTTTACCAACTTGAACATAAAACTACTATTAAAAAATTAGCTAAGTAATTTAATGAGCTGGCACACGTAATCACAACACATAAAATTTTATTTACTTGAAGTAACATCATTTGTTAATAATTTATTTTAGCAAGCTTCTTAACCCTTTAACTGATTTGCTCCTTGTGCATGTTTATACAAAAATTCCCCAATCAAGCACAATATCCTCATTGAATAACATATAGAAAATTGGTTTTCTATTCAAAAAAGCAACCAGTTTGTTTTTAGCAAGTTAGTCTATCTTCATGTTTCACATTTATTACTTCATAGTATTATTGTATGGTTTTATTTTATTTTTTCGCAACTTGATGACTGCTGCAGAAATCAAACTTTACAAGTTTTTATATCATTTTTCTACACAAGCAAAATAACTGTCTCTTTTTCATTTACAAGTAATTGATAGTCCTAATTAGCATTCTACATTTAATATGTTTACAATTAATTTTTTTGTAATAGTAATGCAACAAAAACTTTTATTTTAACTATTTCTCTTTTTTTTTCAGCCCACGGAAATCTAATCACTATAAATAAATACCTTCTCTTTTTACCCTTTGACTGATTTTCTACTTAAATTAAATTGTACAAAGATTTCCTTTTTTAGTTCGATATCTAATTAAATAGCATGTGGGAATCTTATTATGGGACATCTAGTTAAATAGCTTGTTCGATTAAATAGCATGTGGGAAAACTGTTTTTTTGAAGAAGACAGCAAATTGTACTCTTAATTGAGTTAGGTATAGCATTAAATTGTTGCCATTTATAAAGTATACTATGCTAACAATATAATTTAATAAGCTAAAAACAATTTTTCTCAGGTTAGCTTATATTCCAACGTTTTTTTCACTACATTTTAATGCAAGAATTATTTTGGTGCATTTTTAAATATTAGTATTTAATCAGGATACAAAATCCCTGCATTTTTTCCAACAACCCTGTATTTGATCTTTTCAATGATATTGAATATCAAATCAAATTTCAAGTGAACATACTAAACACTAAAAGGATCAAGGATCTAATTCAAACAACAACAAAAAAGTATCAAGTATCAAAAAAAGTTATCTGTAATACCGAGTAAATTTAGACTTTTGCTCAACTAGACATTTAACAAAATATCATAAATAATGAATAGTACATAAACATGTTACCTCCTCAACTTCACGTTTATTTATATCCTTTTGAACATCTTCAAATTCTTCTTTGCCTTCATCAGCTGGCATGGAATAACCTTTAAAATTTAAAACTCATTGGTAAAAGTCATTAAGAAATCTTCCATGTTAAAATGTTTTAACTTCACTACATACCTTCTTTTAACATTTTTAAGCCAAATATTGCAAATAAGGCAGTGGAAATATAATGGGTATAAGTCCTTGGAATAACAGTAGTAGCAAATCCCAAACAAGCTAAAAGATTTCATTAATTGAAATAAGATGTACTTTCAGCAGAAGTTCATATTATTATTAAACAGCATCAAGATATTAAATTCACACAGAAATACAATCCTAAATTTTTATGAAAAAATAAAATTTTACTTAAAAAATAATAATACAAGGATCTATCAATTTTTATGCAAAGAAAAGGTGCATTAATTGATCTAGAAAGAAATTGGTTTATGTAACAGAATGATCAGTTTATAATGCCAACGTCAATTCATTTAAATCAAATAAATAAATAAATGGTATTACCTGATTATACATGGAAAGAAACACAAATGGAAAAAAAAATAGGTTTGAAAAGAAAAGCTAAGGCAGGGATAGTTGGCCAAAAAACAAGAAAATGTCTTGTTGTGAGTACATTAATATTCTTTTTAAAAGCAATAAAAAGGACTTAAAATATATAACTATGTTGTTGTTTTTTTTGGTGCTAATAATAGAAACTGAAACAAACAAATATTTATTTTAATTAAATCTAGACAAATATAGTTATAAGACGTTTGCATGTATTTTAGTACGTAAACACAAAAGTTTTATTGCTTTGTATTTATTTCATACTTTCATTAATATTTAAGACAATAGCTTTCTGTTGGCTGAAAATTAAAAAATAAAATCTGTTTTCTGTTACGTTATTTTTTTTTTCATATTTTGATTAATATATAAAAAAAAAAAAAAACTGGGCTGACTTAGGAGGTAAATTGCTCTTTTCTCTATAGTATAAAACAGATTTGAATCCTAGTGATAGCTAGTAAATTCAAATACAGCTCCCAAAGTATAGAATGCTCTCCTTTCTATTACACAACACAGCTTTGAATCCTGGTGATAGTTGGTTAATTTAAATACAGCTTCCAAAAGCATTGAATACTTCCTTCTCTGTGTAGATGCTAATGTAGAATATCTCTAAAGGTAGACTGATCACGGTTTAGAATTATCTAGCTGTTGGAATATCAATGGGAGAATTTTGCGGTCTGCCTCACCATGCAACACAGATGCAGATCAGTTCCAACAAAACGTCTACCACAAAGGCAAGTTTGTTAAGTCTGCTCAGAAACCCATATCAAAATGTTTGAGGTAAATTTTAACCTGCATGCAATTGGTTGTGCATCTCTGGCATAAGACAATTAATTAATCAAAAATAACTTTAATTCTGGAGCTAAATACTTTTTATAGATGGATGATTAGGAGACATTTGATACACCGACACCGAATTTTGTGAAGTTTAAACTATAATGGGAGAAGAAAAAGAGTATCAAGAAAGATATATTTTTTTAAAAATGGTATTTTTACTAGGTAATCAAGTTACACATGGTGTAGCATACCTTTTGTAAAAAGAACTTTAAAATTGAATAACTTAGTAAAACATCTCTGCATAAAATTCCAAATAACTCAGAGATGCTTAATAAGATTGTTTTATCATGATAAAGAAACCTGATTAAAAATGTATTGAACAAGTGAAGATTGTTTTACCTTTTAAAAATAAGGTTAAAAGATAGAAGGAAGTTAATGACTTAGTCCAATATTGAGCACAGCTAGTAAGTTATTGAAAAACTGAAAGGATTTAATGAAGAAAAGAAGTTACAGATAATTTTTTGCTATTTTATAATGCAGATGGCCAATAAAGAAATTGTAGTTTTGCGTCTGTGTGAATTTAGAATGCCAAAAACATGGCTTTTTAACATTGTCTTTTTGATTGCATAGTAAGACAACCCCTCAACGCAAAACATTATTCCAGTGGTTGTTAATTAAAAACATTGCTTAAACAAATAGAATTTTTCAATATTTCTTATCAGAACATATTATTTAGCTTTTTATATAAGTATCTTAAAATACCTTTTCTTCCACTAAAAAAAATATTTTTCAAAACTAAAGAAATTCTGTAATGGGTAAGGGTATTATTATTGATGATAATCTTAAATAACCAAGCTGCCATATCTTTATTATTTTTTGCTATTTTAACAGCATTACATACTATTTTTCAGCATTTTAAAAATCCTACTTTATGTTTTTGTTTCTGTGTAAAATAAGTAAAATTTCTTTTTAATATTTTATATTATAAAATAGAGAAAAGATTTATTAAATTTGGTTCCAATGGTAATTTTTACTACATAAGATTTATTACAAACTTAAAGAAGCTACTATACAAAACACAAAAAAAAGAAAAACAAAAAAAGAAGGAAGTGATGTTAACAAAAAAAATGACACTATAAAGAATCAGGCTCTTGGTAAAAATTTCATCCAACTCGCAATAAAAATTCTTTTGCATTATTATCAAATTTTAAAACAGAAATAATATGCTATTCAATTCAGAAATTTCACAAAAAAGAAATATAAGGTCAACAACTAATGTCAGATAATATTTTAAGGCACAAACCTGATAAAATAGTCATTATAGCTAAAGCTGATATAGCGCCCATGAACACTGTAATACGAGAATGTCTCATAGCCATAACTGCAGCAATAAAGAAAGTTTTGTCGCCTAACTCTGAAACTATAATAACAGATATCGCAGCAACAAAGCCATGAACAAAACCTAAACTATGAATGTCTTTAATCTTGTGAAAAAAGTCACCCGGCTTTTTGAAGTCTCCACCAACCTAGATAAAATTACAAACTTCATATTATAAAAATGTAATTAAACCACATCAAAATTTTAGTAAAAAAGTAATATGGTATATAATTGTTTTTTATATATACAGGGTGTTTATAAAGTCCCGGACCCATTTTGATGTTTAATAACTCATAAAATAATAAAGATAGATTAAAATTAATAACATAAATGGTTAGATAGACTCAAAAAGTTTCATGACCCTTGTCAATGAACTTCCACATGTGCCCCCTTCGTCGCACGGAGAATATCAAGTCGATAGTCAATTTCACGCCAGGTAGCAGCAAGCATATCAGCATCCACAGAAGCTATTGCGGTTGTAATTCTGGCTTTTAGGTCATCAATGTTAGACATGATCCTCCTGTAAACATTGTCCTTTATAAATCCCCAAAGAAAAAAGTCCAGCGGCGTTATATCAGGTGATCTGGGTGGCCAAGGAATTGGACCTCCTCGCCCAATCCATCTTCCTGGAAAATGGTCATTCAAAGAACTACAAACGATGATACCCCAGTGAGGTGGTGAACCATCTTGTTGCAAAAAGACATGTGGCTGAAGCTCTTCTAGTTGCGGAAATACGAAGCTTTTCAACACGTCTAAGTATATAGCGGATGAGACCGTCTTTTCTGTAAAAAAGAAAGGCACAATGACGCGGTTGTGCATCAATTCACATTACACATTAATCTTTGGGGAATCCCTTTGTGACTCACGGTATTCAAGGGGGTTTTCAGATCCCCATATGCTCACATTATGGAGATTAACAATGCCAGAAACATGAAAGGATGCTTCGTCAGAGAATATTATGCGCTTCAGAAAATCAGCATCATCTTCTATCCTTCCTACTATAACTGTTGCAAACGCCATCCTCCTAGGCCTATCATCCGGTTCAAAACCTTGAACAATTTGAACTTTGTATGCATGCACTCTTAATTGTTTCTTAATAACCTTGTACACCAGGGGTGTCAAACTCGTGGGCCGCATGCGGCCCGAGATGAACATTTTTGTGGCCCAGTAATATATCTGACGCAAAGTAAAAATAAATTAGAAAGGAAACTAGCATATGAAATTATAATATACTTTATTAATAAACTATACAGATCATTTTAAATTGTACGCGCGAAAATGTAAAATTCTAATTGGCTTGCGGCACCTGCCATTCCAGGGATATTGCATCGTATCAAAAACACGCAGAAAAAATTTCAAATCTTAGAACGGAATTTGAAACAAGGTTTAAAGATTTTAATTCATCGGAAAACAAATTTTGTTTGTTTTCGTCGATTTTCTCAATAAATATAGACTCAAATTTGAAGGCAAAATTCATTGAAGTGGTTATGCCTGAATTTTACAAATATTTACCGGCAAGGTTTGAAAATACTGGAAAATTCGCATATGAAATTATTTCCATGTTTGGAAGCACTTATCAGTGCAAGCAATTATTTTCTGTTATGAATGGAAATAAATCTCCTGTCCGAAACCGTATTAATAACGCTCATGTTGGGTCATTTTCGCTCATGTTGGGCCAAAAAAATTTCTCCTGAAATAGGAAAAATAGCAGCAGAGAAGAGATGTCAAGCATCAAACAATAATTTAACTTTATATATGTTACAACACAGCTTTGAATCCTGGTGATAGTTGGTTAATTTAAANATTTTTTTTTTTTTTTTTTTTGCGGCCCACCTAAAGTTAAGCATTGTTTATTTGGCCCAAGTCAGCTTTTGAGTTTGACACCCCTGTTGTACACCATCGAAATTGGCACATCCAATTCTCTTGCCGCTGATCTCACAGATCTTCTAGGATTGTCTAAAAATGTCTGTCTAACACACTCAACGTCAAAATCACTTGTGCAGGGACGTCCAGAATGTTTCGTATCTGCGATACTTCCAGTTCCTAGAAAATTCTGTTTCCACCTCAAGATACTGCTTTTGGATGAAGGATCTTTTTGGTAAATTCTTCTACAATTTCTCTGTGCTTACACTATCGATTTCGTTTCTATGAACCACCATAAAATATGTGCTTTCTCTTGTGGTGTATGCATTCTCCTTAATATCCGCTCGAATAAAACATCGCATAGAAAAATACTACATAGAACAAACACATCAAAAGTAAACATAACATTGCAACAGTTGCCAAAAACGAAAGAGAGAAAAATGCAATTAATAAGCAGACGATATTTAGAAAAATACAGATATTTAAACAGGAAAATGAAATTATCTGAAATTAACCACACGCGCAGACGATATTTACAAAAGTAAAGGTATTCAAACCTGAAAAGGAAAATATATGATTTATTCCATCAATAAATGCCATAAGTTTGTTTATATCTTCATTATTTTATGAGTTATTAAACATCAAAATGGGTTTGGGAATTTATAAATACCCTGTATAATAATATTTTTTATTAAACTCAAATACACTTTAATTATAATTCACAATAAAAAAAAAATTGTGTTTTTAGATAAAATTATTTAGACCTCTTTACTTAACATTTATCTCACACACTTTTAAGTTAAAAGGTTAATTTTTTTTTTTTTTTTAAATTCATTCAAACATAAATATATTTATGCTGCTAAAAATATTTTCAAGAATGTATGATGTTTTGCAAATATAATAACTAACTAAACTTAAAATGAATCAGAAAGCATTAATGTAGCTATTTTATTCCATTTTTAGTAAAAACTATTTTAACCCCTTAACTTAACAATTATCTTGGGCTTTTAAGGGGTTAATTTATTTGAAAAAAATAATTAATTCAGAAATAAATATATTTATGCCACTGAAAATATTTTCAAGAATGTATGATATTTTGAAATATAATAACAAATTGAACATAAAATTAACTATAATGCTATATAAAATTAACTACTTAGCTATTTTATTCTGTTTTTAAATAAAATTATTTTAATTATTTGAAAAAAGAAATTTACTCAGAAAGAAATATAAGTTAATAAAAATTTTCAAGAAAGTAAGATGTTTTGAAAACATAACAAAATAAAAAATTGAACTTAAAACATTAACTATAAAGTATTAGTTTATTGTAATGGGAATAAAATTTTTCACAAAATTAATTTTTAAAAAAAAGAAAAAAATTTTCAAGAAAAATATTTTTAATTTTTGCTTAAAGATGTCCAATAGAAATAGGTCCAAGATTACAAAAGAAAATGATTGCATAATTTTTATCAATTTGTGTTCAATAATGATTACATATTTTTTTTTATCAACAATGGTGTATCAACTCGTTAAAATGATACAAAAAAAAGTGAGAAAAATATTTAACTCTCTAAGTGGTGCTGAAAGAAAATGGTCTAAACATTTATGGACTTAATATTATCTTTTACCCAGTATCATAAATAACAAATCAGAATAAACAATTAGAAAAGAAAGTATATCATAAAAAAATAACTATCAGTCCCACATTTAATGTATCGTCATTGACCTTAAAAGCATAAGTAAATCAGGTCAGTTATGAAGTTCATCTTTCTTTCTAAGTTTGACGGCCACTTGATATCTGATTCAATTGATGTCTGGATATAAATAAAACACTTTCTTGATTAAAAAGAAAAAAACTGCAGAACAAAAATAGCTACAATATTTATTAAAATTTTTAAAAAATTGTCAAATTTAACATAACCATATGTAGCAGATATTATTTCTTTTATTTTTATTTGCTTTTATCTTGAATTAAAAATAAATCAGAACTATTTTAACAAACTTTTTAATGGTTGAGAAAGAAAAGTGTTACTCAATCCAAGACAAGCTAAAGCACATATAATGTTATTAAAGTAAAAGTAATTTATCATAAATATCTTAAAACATTTCTAATGCTTAATTTTGTAAATAAAACAAATTTTAATAATTTTTTTTTAATTTCTGATGTAAATAAAAGAATATAATAAAAATATTTTTCTATCATTACATAATCTAAACTAGAGAATATACTGGCACCTGGATCAACATTAAATCCTACAAAAACAATCTGGATTGATATTCTCAGCATTAAAGTTATATATCAAGTTTTGTAGATAAGGTTGTATACATATAAAGGCAAATAAAAAATTAGAATGGATTCAAAGAAAGGGCAGATTTTGATCATGTTTAATAAAATCCATTTGAGCCTAGATTTTATTAAATTTATGGATTGATCAAAAAGGCTGATTTTTAAAGCTATTACTTCATATTTAAATATTTACTAAAATTAAAATTAGTTAATTTCAATTAATTTCTTAATTAAATATTTTATTGCATAATTTCATTTCATTTTAATTAAATCTTATTGAATTGAAATTTTATATTGTTTTACAGCAAATACATAATTATCAGAGTTCACCCTAGGAATAAAAAAAGGCAGAGTGCTTCCTCACAGAAAAGGACACTTTAAGCTTTAAAAGGGCATTCACCGGCATTAAAATTTATCAAAATGTGTATTGTATGTATAATAATATTTGAATTAGATCCTTAATTTTTAAACTACCCTCTTATACTATTTTATGTGCATATTTCACAAAGTAATTCTGATTCAGTAGCAAAATAACAGAAAAACTTGAAACTTCAGAAAAATAATTAAAGGCATGCTAAAAGACAATATCTGTGCATAAATTTTCTTCAAAAAAAAGCAAACTTTAAAAAAAAAGATAAATTGATAAATTAATCTTTTGATTGATTAAATTGATTTTAAACTGAAAATTTAGAGAAAATAAATACTTAAAGGAGCATTTTTAAATAAAAGGGATTTATTAAAAAAAATAATGGTAAAATATAAAATCACTAAAAAAAAACTCACTATACTCCCAAATAAAAGCAACAACATGCAAATTTTAACTATATAACTAAACAGCATGAAAAAAATTTCACCAAAATTAAGGAAATCGAAAATTAAAGTTAAATAATTACCAGAAACTAAATAAATCAGAAGTGGACTTTTCATTAAAACAGATGGTAAAGAAAACAACCTCTTCCTGAATAGATAAAATAAAAGGCAAGGATTTTAAGGGATGGCAGCTTATTTTTACAAAAGAGCAAAGAGGAGACATTTATACAAAGGGCAGATAGGATGGGCCTCCCTTCTAAAAACACTGTAATTACTATATATAATTTTAACTAAAATTTTTAATGCCATGAAAAACAGTACATTAAATTTAATATTATTATTACTACTTAATAAAAACTGATGGGTACTTTTTTGATAAATATATTTATTGTAATAAATCAGCTATGGTCTAAAACAAACTGTATGCATGTTAAAATAAAAACTGCACTAATTTTCATGCGAAATAATTTTAAATTTTAATGTCATGTCAGCAATTAATATTTTATTACTTAATTTTGTCAATTTTTTATTTTAATTTTGATTTTAAAATAAATTTTGTATTTTTTTATAGTAATATTATATTATTTTACAGCTACAGCAAACATAAATATTAAAAATAATATTAATGCTGCAAAAAAACAGTATATTAATTTTTACATTGTATTTGCTATTTAATCAAAAGTTATAAATTATTTTTCATAATTATTGTAATAATGTAGCTTCAAACATCGTCAAAAGTACAATAACATACATTAAAATAAGAACTGTACTAATTTCTTGCTGAACAATTTAAAATATTAGTTCGAAAGTCAGCAAACCAAAGTTGGCAATTTATCAGTATACATGAATCAGTTTTAAATAGTTTTCACAAAAAATAAAACCATATCAATATTGCTTTCAGGATTTAAGGACAAACATTAATTTTCCAATTAGAAAGTGTCTTGAAATATAATTAGAAAATATACAATTAGAAAATGTCTTGAAAAAAATTATTAAACAGCCTTACATAATTCATTACTAGAAATAAATACAGCTTCTTCTATATGCAAGTAAAAGATACAAAGTATTTTAAAATAATCTAAATGTATTTTTATGTTTCAAATATACTTATATATTTGATGATGATTTATAGGATGTTGGTATAATATCAAAAAACTAAACTTACAAGCAAACTGTTTTAAAGTTATTAATTCATAATAATTAAAACTTTTATTGGAAGAAGAAAACTTTAAGGAATCAAAATTTTTCTTTAAAATAAATACTATTAATTTCAAATTCTTTTAAATATAATTATAAGAAAGAAATAAGAGAAAATTTTTCTCACTTTAAATAACCACTTGAAACTAGTACGAGGATTTTAATATAAAAATCCTCAATTTTCCAATTATTTATTATTTTCCAATTATTTATTATACTATTCAATTATTCCAATTTATAATTATTAGAAAAATCTTATTAATAAATCTCACTTTTAAGTTATTTGTTCTGTTTTGGCAAGAGCATAAAAGTTTCCTAAATAAAAGTGGTACTCTAAATTTCATTTTTAAAAATTGTCTCTTTAATATTTGTAAAAAAAATTACCAGCATTTCTTTAAAGAACAAAAAAAAATTAAAAGAGAATATGATCAATAAAATGATCATCACCTTTACTTTAAAACACTGGCAATAAGAAAATTAAATAAATTTCTTTATATAGCATTTGTCCTAGGGTTAAACATTTATAACACAGTTAAATAAAATTGTCTAAATGCCAAAGTAGTTTCTATGCAAGCCAAACAAGAAAATGCTATAAAATTCCTAATAAACAACAAAAAATAAAGAAAAGGAGCTTTTCGCATGTTTGAAAGAATTTTTTATATCTTACATCTTCATAATTCCCCGGAAACTCAACATTTCTATTGACACTAACAACAGGCTCAGAAGGGGCGATTTCTTCAGAATTAACAAAAACTGAAAAATTGATAACTATTATTGTCAGTAATAAAAAAGTCCAAGAGCTAGAAGACCGCATTAAAGCCATCAAGTTCGTAATATATTTCAAACACATTTATGACACGTAAAATACTGCTTCAATATATTAAAGGATGAATTGTACAAAATGTTTGTCAATTCTTCAGATCAGAGTTAAAAAATCGACACAATCAAACTAAGAAGTCAATCAGTTCCAGAAAGCAGTGATGATAAATTCAAAAGAAACACGCCAGGCTAATGGAACTTCTAATTAAATAATGCTACAAGAAATGACATAAATTTAAATTAACCATCCCAAGTGATAGTCACCAAGTAGCCACAGTATCAGTAATGTAAACAATATAATACCGACACAGCGCGGTTTACAGAGAATTTTCTTCAGCTTATGATCGTCGTTCATAAAGCTCATTTTTCTCGCAAAAGTAAAATTTTTATGTTGCGTTTCGTGTGCATAAAGCATATGCATCGATGAGTAGACAATAATTGGTTCTATTAAAATCGAAATGGTTCCAAGAAAAACTCGTGATTACTGGAAGATAGGGATGTACCCAGCTCACCTAGCCAGATTTTCATAGCCTAGTTATTATCCAAACTCGGCCGAAAATTTTACAACCTGATACCGGATACCCGAACCTAGTTTCTAGTCTCAAGACCAGATAACTGGTTCTCAAACCCGGACAGTTTTAGCCGGTATCCAATGTCAGATAACTCACATTTGTGTTCGTCACTATCATATTCAAATTTATAGTAACCTTAAAATTATTCATAAAAATAATTGCATTTTTTGAAATCCTTTCATTCCAACGAAGCGATCGCAACGCTCGAATACGCCATCTGGGGAGAAGACCGGTTCCATGCTTTTGGACCCTCCACCTTCCCTCTCCTCCTCTTTTCAGTTGTATAGGAGTGTACTACGATACTTTTCCTTTTCTTAGCATTTTTCGTATTTAATTGTTAAGAATATTTTTTAAATTTCCATTACATTTTCTTTTCGGACTATGTTTAATGTAGTTTTCAGTTCCATATAGTTTCCTAACTTAAAAGATTTTAATCTATTTGAAAATTAAGACAGAAACTAACGTACCGCCAAGGACTCTCCACACGCTAATGGTGAAAGCATGTAAAGTGTTACCATAGGTAGAGAGTTCTGCTTTACCCCGCCTGCAGCCCATTTCAGTCGCCAATAGTAATTAATCTGTAATAGCTGGTTTAGGAATGACATATTTTACTCTTTTGCAAAATGATTCAAGAAATCATTAAGGTAATTTCGTTTATGATTAACAGATGATTAAAAAATTCAACCCTGATAGTCAAAGCATTTTTCATTTAATATACTTTCATTTATTGAAATAATTTTAAAATATGCTACGTTTAACAGAAACTAATTTCAGTAAAGCAAATGAAAAAGTAATTAGTATGAAGTTCTCTGTAAGCAGATGTCTCCACTTTATATCAAAGTTTCACGATAATCATTTCTACACTGAGGAAAAAAGTATGGTCAACAATATGGTATCTGAATATGGCACAGTGTTTCTGACTCTATGGGAGCACCAGAATGCTCGGTGAATTATTGCAGAAAGTTTTTACTGAAGCTGTGGCGTAACTACCACTATAAAATATTAATACCAATTCACTAGTATATAAGACATGTTAACTTGATTCTATCAAGAGATACCTTTTGATAGATGAAGGTTGACATAGTCTAAGATTAAATCCCTTCAAAGCCTTTTGGTAATGGTTTTGGAAAAATTAACAAAAAGTATGGTTTCAAAATCTGTGATAAAATTTGATAGACGTGGTAAAATTTGAAAATTCTATCATGATACATTTGAGCCTGGTTATTAACTAAAATTATGTTTTGTTTTTTTATTCTTCTCTTTTACCAGAAATGTCATGACTATGCAATAAAGTAATTCTACCAAAATGATTTTCACTGTATTTATCAAAACACTCCTCCCAAAATGTTCTTTTGAAACTCCTTTTAAAATTTAGTTTGCAAAAATCTAAAAATAAAAAAGTATTTTTATGTATATAAGTGAGGCAATAAATTTCCTTGTAAATTATTTGTTCTACATAAAAATTTTCGATTTTTATATTGTTTTGTACAAATGCTATAATACTCGGCCGGGTAGCCGGAAACAGTAAAGTAAGAAATTGAATTTTCAAAGGCTACCTGTTACTCTGACCATGCAAAATTTCAGGACCAATACTTCTCTTAATGAAAAGATTCTTGAAAAGTGTTTTATGTGTGAAATTGAAGAATTCTACGGAGTAAAAGACAAAAGTCTAATGTGGAGAGTTTCATGTCGCGCAATATATATATAAATAATGTAAACATTTCATAAATAATTTAATCATTTAATCGAGGAATGATAAAATTATCGAACATCAGAAAAAATTTTGCTCCTTATGTTGGATGAACCGACCGGTTGGCCGAGTGGTTAGCGTGTCTGACTGTGGAGCCGATAGCTGCGGGTTCGAATCCTGCTCAGGGCATGGATGTTTCTCTCTCTCTCTCTGTGTGTGTTCTATGTGCTCTCTTCTGTGTGATTGTGTGAGTGTAACCTGCTCTATAAACGGGTTTGTGGTTTTTAAGACGTGGGCGACGCTGCTCCACCGCCATGGCTTAGCCATAGGTGCCCACTCAGTAACGATAAGAGAGTAGCAATTCTGGTATTTCTGAGGCCAATGGGAAATAAACCCAAGTGCCCACCATTAAAAAAAATGTTGGAAGTATGTTGTTTGCCTATCTATATTTTCCATAACTTATTTTTAAACTATTTACAATTTCCGAATTTTTGAAAAGTCATTTTTAAAATGCATTTTTTACTTCTTTTCAGGTCTTTGTATTATGCAATTGTCTAATGGTTATAACTTTGATTTATTATAAGGGTTTTCGAACAGTCCCGCTGTGCACTGATCGTAAAGACTCGATTCCCAGTAGAATACCGATATAAAGCATCACTGGCTCCAGTCAGTAGGCAGGTGGGTGATCATTTTGATCCATCTGCGTAGCAACCAAGTCCTCGTTAAACTGTTATATCACAAGAAACTCGACTTCACGCGCAAGTCGTCCGCCTGCCAAATAGGGGGAGCCATCCTTCAATAGAGGACCAAAATTGTGATGGCATGTCTTCGGATTATCATCAGGGATGTTTCACAGATTGTCATCGCAGCTCTAATGTGAAGTAAATATACCTACCTACCTTTTTTAACCCTGTTTTTCAAAAGGCAGCTATAAAACTGCTTGTGATATAATAAATATTTTTCTTCCTTCCTCTAACATTTTTGAAATTCACCACTCATGGATTATAAAAATATTCATTTAGAAGTTGATGGTGGAATAAAAAAAGCTGATGTTGTGACAAAATATGGAATATTCCCATCCACTCTATCTACTTTTTAAAAAAAAAATCTAACGAAGTTGGAACAGCATATGCAATCAGCATTGATAGGATCACATAAAGACTTTCAAACTTTCAAGATGTGCTTAATTCAAATGTTTCAAATTTTCCAGAAGTTTTCGGATGTACGGACATTCGAGTCTCTGGACTGCTCATTCGTGGGAAGGCTTTAGAATTAACAAAAAACTTCTGAAAACGAAAATTTTCAAGCAAGTATTGGTTAGCTAAATCGATTCGAAGAACATGATGGTATTTTTTCAAAGCAAATTTGTAGCCGAGAGAAATTAATTCAGAAAGCACCTAAGCCAAAAATTCAGAAAATGCATTAAATTGTTTTGTTTTGCTGCAATATATCAGATATAAGAAAAAAAACTATGTTTATCCGCAAATCTGCCAACCTAGAAGCCTAAAAAATGTAAACTCATTATGCGCAGGATGTGGATAATGACAGGGATTTTTAAAGAGTGGTTAATTAAGTTTGATGAAGACAAAGACATGAAACGTAAGAAAAGAAAAATTCTGCTTCTTTTTAACAACTGCTCACCCCATTATGAGTCACCAAAATTAGAAAATTAAGGGAGAATGCTTTTCTCCTAATTGCAGGCCTATTTTATAACCACTTGACCAACGTATAATAAAGCAGTCAAGGGAAAAATCGTGTTCTCAACTTCTACGGTGTATGTTTCTTTATAACCATCGTTGAACAGCCGACCCAATTTTTGGGTTTACGACTACTAATGTTCAACTCGGTAGCCTTGTAATTTGGAGCACTTAGATCAAGTATTGAGAGAGATTGCTTTGGTGGAGGACTTTTTGATGGAAATAACCCGCATTTTAGTTACATGGTGAGGAAAACAACGAAAACTTCACACGGTCAGCCTGAAGGCAAGGGGAATCTAATCCATGATCCGTCTACCACTGAGGACATTTTACGTCATCACTGTAGTCGGTGCGAGCTGGGTGCGGAATTCGTATAAACCTGCCATCGCTGAAATTCGAACCCGGTTCGCCTTATTGGAAGGCGAGTGCTTTATCTCCTGAGCCACACGGCAGTACGGCGTATGTTTGTGAAAATTGAAAAACAAGGAAGCAATTTTAAAACCTGATTCAAAGCAAGCTATGGATATGATCGCTGGAGAGACACTAGCCAAAAAGTCATTTGTGATGGGTGAAAGAAAGCAAATTTAACCTTGGCTTTAGACAAAGAAGCTGTCGATGAAGAATTAAATGATGTTCTCATTGGTTTGCAACCATTATGAGAACATATTACAAAGGAAAAATCTATGCCAAATGAAATCAGTCTTGACTATTTTCTTACTGCAAACGATGATGCTAGTATGCGTGATACTGATATGATTGACCATGATATTGCTGGTATGATACAAATTAATTAAAAAAAAGCTATACATGTTATTTACTTACTCTTTATTTTTTACACACTATAAATTGGAATGCAATTTCGGCTAACCTTGTGAATTCCCTAACAAGTTTTAACCCTAGGGCTACCTTATATTTGAAACTAATGTTGTAATTATTATTATTTTCAATAAATATGTTTAAATTTTTCAATTTTCGCATTTTTTTATGACTCTGATCACTACATCGATTAACATTTAAAAAATTGTTCACATTTTTCGTGCAAGTAGGGGATAGGTAATGCTAGAAAGATAAATCCTTACAGTGGTATTAAGGACAAGAACAAAAAAATTCATATCTCTTTAATTTCCACAAATTCTAAGTTTAATATTAAACTTTCAAATAATGTGATGAATACAATACAGTTTAGTTGTTTCTTTCTCATGTGTACAAATGAGAGAGAGAGAGAGAATTAATTTCAAGTCGAAATTTTCAAGAGAAATAAAAGGGAAATTTAAAAAAATATTGTCATGTAACTATAATAATTAACTAATGTTTTTTCAAATTTAAAGTTTCGACATGTAAGTAATCATACAAGTTAATCGTTACAAGCATCATTTAACGAAGAATGCTTCAATTGAGAAATTCATTTTGAATGTTTTATAATTTCTGCTATATATCCGATTTTATACAGTTCATTTGAATGTTTGGTATTTTTAAAATTTTTAGGCTATCGATTTTTAGAAAAAAAAATAGTTATTTCTTTATTTTTAAATGTAAATACAAATGAAGAAATCATATACCATAATTAGTAATGGTATCAGAAGTATAAAAAAATGAATAAGCGTAAGAATACCAAAATATCTTAATTCGTCTCTTTTCCCAAGGAAAAAAAGATGAGACAGAAGATTATTATGAAAATTGCCATTAATAGTCAAGGCTAACAATCAGACATGCCTTACTGAAGTATGCTCAATACCTTTAATTTGGTTGAGAATAAATGTGAAGTTATTAAGGTTGTTTTTCAAAGGCTCTGACGTATTATGAAATGATGCTTTTTGCGAATAATATGCTATTTTTATAACTGCTGTGAGTTTGCAACTGCTACTCATGACTGTTAGGTGAAGTTTAGCCTATCTAAAGCCAGCGCTGTCAACGATTATTTTGAAAATGGTGCAAAACGTCAACATGGATGAAAAACCACAGTTTCGTGAAAATGAAAAACGTTTGTAGTCTAATTTTTTTTAATATTTAAAAACTTACTCCAATACTGGATTACTTGGGCTTATAAAAATTTGCAAAAACTGAGAATAAGGCAGTGATTTTGAAAATTTTCATCTAGGTGGAAAAATGTCGCCAAATGGGCTATTTTTTAAAAAAAAAAGTTCAGTAACTTTTAAAATATTTAAGTTATTTGTCTGTTCTAAAGTCCAGATAATGTTAACAAAATTATCTATATAGTTTAAAATCATCGCATTGATTCATGTGTAAGGCATTCAAACTATGGCTTTTTTATTTTCCTTGGTTATAGAGCTTCGAAAAACAGCATTAAGTACAACGTTAGTGTTAAGTAGCGTTAGGTTTATTCCAATACCGCACGAAGGAACTTGCTACGTATTACTACCACACACGCTTTTATTTACTTCTTGAATCGTGGGTAGATCTATTCTTCTGAAACTACGATCAAATCCTTTTTTAAATACGCAGTCACATTGCTTCTGGACTAGACTTTAAGTGCATATCTCTTAAACATCTCATAAACATTGTGAAAAATTATTTATAGTGTCATTACATGGAAAATATTGTACTACCATCTATTTATTAAATAGAGAACTATTGCAAGTCGTAAGCTTAAACTAAAATTTTTAAAAAAAAAATAGATTTGCTGTATTTATAGAAATTTTGCACAGAACAATTCTTTTCAGGTGTATTTCTCTATCTGTTACTAAATTCATTCATCGGAGTGGAACAAAGGATGAATCCCGAGATTTTAACGTCATTATTTTATACCGTGGACAATGCGGTACATAGTAACTCAGTTTTAACTACTTGCTACAAAATTTGCCTTTAAATAAAAAGTTTTATTTATTTGTTTCCGAGATGTAGTATTTAAAAAGTAAATTTTTTTTCATATTGTCTCAACATATCGTATTTCCAAGAAAATATTTTTATCGTAGTGAATATTTTTGAGAGTGTATGAAAAGTATAATGTATGCTTAGATGTATGTTAATGTATGTTTAGAGATTAAAAATATTTCTTAAACCTAACTAGGAGTTTTTAAGCAGAGGAGATTAATTTATTTTTCGGTATGTCTAAACAGTAATGTTTGAATTTGCTTTATTCCTAAGGCTACTGATTTTATTACAAAATGATTCAATCTCATTAACCATAATAACCACTATTTAAAGAACATAGAATACTTTATTTTTGTAGGACATAGTAAAATGAAAATTACTATAAAGATAAAAATTAATCACTAATAAGTTGAAGAGTTATGTTCTGTGGTGAAATATTAATGGTGATGAAATTATGATATTTAACATTTTCAACAAATTTAATAATATAGTCTTTTCTATGCTTGCTAATATCTTTACACTTAGCACTTATTATCCTTATTTCTCCATGTGATCTTGGTAATAGATTTCATCTCCATATTTACATCGATTGTCAAAACCTGCAAGAACAAATTCATGTTTTATTTAAGTTACGTATAATACAAAAATATTTGTTCTAGCGAATGGTATTGGAATAAAACTGCCATTCTTGTACAAAAGGTAAAGAAAGATAGCGTTACGGAAAAAATTATTTTATTTCCAACTTAATCTGAATAGAGCTAAATTAATTAATGTTGCACCACGTCATACTAATTCTAAAGGTGTTCATCAGAGTTTTTTCACCAAGACTCAGTTTGAGTGCCAGAAATTCAAAAGCACTCATTTTAAATTTTATATGCTATCTTGTTCAAGCCAATAATCTAGATTTAAAACTGACAAATGGCTTAAATTGTTAAAAAAATACTTAAAACTTTTTAATATTTTTCATTGAAACGACTACCACTATAACCATCTTCTGCATATTTTTATGAGCCTAAAACCACTATAACCATCTTCTGCATATTTTTATGAGCCTAAACAATGCAGTATAGCAGTAACTTTTCAGACATTATAATATTAGAAGTCTTTCATCTCGAGTACTTTTCATTTTCATAAAACTTTGGTTTTTTTTTTTTTTATCTTGACGCCCTTTTTTACATTAGTGTAGAAGGTAATGGCTAAAGATGAAAAAGAATTAAACTAACAGTCAGGAAAAACTGTAACAGCAAACTCAGAACACAAATGCAAAAATGGCGAAAGAGAATTCTTTCATATGAGAACTCAGCCTTCAAAGAAGAGCTTCTTCACAAAGAAGTATTTTAATAGGAACATTATTATTTGCTAAAATACAATTGAACGTAGTTTCCATTAGTTTTTCAAGAAAATTCGTAGACGGTTATTTTTTTTTTATTTTTTATAAAAGCAAGCAAACAAAATAGCTGCCTTTAGTTGTATTGACGAAATAGAAAATGATCAAATAAATAGAGAACAAAATAATTATACTTAAATTTTTAGTTCACACACATTTTTAGTTTATGACATTATGTAATTAAGCTAAAATGAAATTTAAGAGCTAAAAAGATGTGATAAGACTTGATCTATAATCTTATCAGCATTTAAAAATTATTCTTAAAATGTAAATAAGTAAAAAGAAACTTACTTTTGTATTTTTGTCAAAATTGAAACTTTGAATAGTTTTTGAATCTATGCTGACGTTGGTAACTTCTCCAGATTTGAAAACATAAATTCGCTTAAGTGTAGGTTGCTGTCCATCATAAGAAGCACCTTCATCTCTTTTGATTGTAAGATCACACTAAATAATATATTTTTCAACTTTAAGTTTTTAATAAAAACAAACTTAACGCATGAACCAATTTAAATATCATACTTTTTTAAGCATGCAGTTTTAAAAAAACTAAGCAATAATTATTTAAACATTATTACTGAAACTCCTATTACTGGTTTTCAAAAAATACTTTGAAAAAATTCACAACTCATTTAAAAACTTGACGCATAATTTTAATTTTATAATAATTAGACATTATTATAATAATTAGACGTCATTTTAATAATAATTAGACATTAAAACAAAGAGTATTCATTAATAATAAAGTATTTTTATTGCTTTCAATAAAAATATTTTTTTGGGCAATTTACCGTAAACGAAAAATAAGCAAAAAATTTTTTTCTCTTAGTACAAAATAAATGTAAGTAGTGGGAATCGGAAACTAATAAAATTGATAAAAGATACAAAAAAAATACTCTGGAAAATTGCAAGCATTTATTTTTATTTCTAACTAAATATATCAATTTATTTTATCATATTCCTTTAATTCATGATAAATGTGTCTAAAATTAACAACAGTAACTAGAAATTATTCATCTTAAAACGTTTAAATTAAAAAGAAAAAAAACTTATTTTATCACCAACTTTTGTCACCAAGCAACAAATAATGAACAGGGGTAAATTATTCTGAAAAAGATTATTCATTAAAAATATTTAGTATGATTAGAGACAAATTGTCAAAATTTCTTTCTTATTGCCAGTTCCTAAGTCGTTGAATACGAAAATAATCAGGAAAAAGTTTCTTAAAAGACTTGGTTTTTGTCCAATATTAATATCTAAAGTTTGTTCCGCATTCCGATATGAACTTAGAATTCAATCTTATATTTACTGCAGTAAAAGAAGGTCAAAATAAGGAGAATTAAATTTAAATATTACTCACTGTACAATTGTAGTATTGCATCCTATATAGTATTATTTTTATACTAAATTGAATAAGATCAAAACTAAGTTGAGAGAATTAATAGTAAAGCATAAGGATTTCATGTATAAAAAAAAGTACCATTTTTGGCTTATGCTAACTTAGGCGCTAGACATTGGTACGTAGGAAATTAAGGCATAGTTTTCAATGCGTGTTGTTATACTTAACCGAATGAGGCTAAATTTAAATCAATGAATCTAATAGTTTCAAAATTATGAGGGTCTTAGGCGTAAATATTTCTTAGTCCAAAATTGCTTTCTTTATACAAATACCCCTTTTAATTGCTAGTTCTATTGATATGTTTTTGGTTTCATTTAAGTCAGCGTTTAATATACCGCAGGCAAAATAATAATTGAAAGTGAACACCTAGAACAACTATTGATCTTATGATCGGATTTTCACATACTAGGACTATGATTCACGGGGCTAGCCTTAAATATGCTACGATATTTTAAGTTACGAAATTAGGTACAAGAAATATTTCTCTAAATAAGCATACCTTTCTTTCGACTGATTCAGATATTTTGTCCTTAAAATAAGGCAGAGGGTGTCGCAATCTCGTCGCAGTAGTCGTCGCAATCTCGTCGCAGGCAGAAGAGCTATCCAAACATTTGACTCCTTGATGTTAAATTCCCTTTTTGGGTATTTTACTATAACTCGAAAACTTTTAAAGCGGATCGAGAAATTTTTTTGCGTGAAATTATAAAATTCGTTACACTGGGTTTTTGATAAAATCTCTTTTTCTGATAATATCTATACGACTTTACATTCACTTTAAATGCTCACACACGAATTAGTTAATCAATTGCTCGCAGTCAACGGTGAACTCCTTCTTTCATAACCTTGAATGTTAGTGCCACTATTGTTGCTACATTTTTTATCACACTTGTCTACTTTTAATTTGGGTGACATTTATAAAGCGTAAGTAAAATTGTTATCTAACTTTGTTCATTACGAAATGAAAGAACTTCGATGAATATCAATTATTTTGCATTGGTAAATCCCGTGGTCAAAAGTAATAAAATTTGAACTCAATAAAGATACTTACATTCATCATATTGTAAAGATAAAGGTCATACTTCTTCTGTTCAATTGTGTCTAGATATAAAATCAGTAGTTAGGTTAGATTAAAACAAACAGAAAAAAATCATAAGTAAATCATATCACTTAACCATAATATAATATAATAAATCACAGAAAAAAATCATATCACTTAAACACAAAGTTATAAGAAATAAATATTTAATATAGGATTCATTACCTTTAGATAAGCCATCATCAGTGAAGAGTTCTCCTGATGCATTGTTGTTCAGTGGATAAATAAACAGACTGATATTCCTTACTTCATTTCTAGCAAAAAAGAGAAAAACATTACAAATAGTCATAATTACTTGTACTTATGACTTTCACTTGTCGTCATTATTCCTTGTAATAGTAGATAATAATTACTTGCCAGTTCTTAATTGAACAAATTTTACAAGATTTGAGGAACGGATTAAATTGCATATAAATGCCATTACATGTTGAACATAATTGTTGCCCTCAAGGCAAAATCAAACATAATTTATAAGAAGATCTCAAAAAGATATAGTAATAAAATACTTTTGTTTCCTTTCGGTACTGACATTTTTATTTAATTATAATTTAGACACGTTGTAATTAAGGACAATTAAATTCACCATGTAATGGCAATTTTGTATAGAAGGTGGCGGCAATTATATGTTTTGGCTTGAAGGCATCTGGGAATCACTTGACTTTGATAGCTCGAATTATTTGGACGACCAATAATCGACTTTCATAAAACTACGTTCGATTCGAAAGTACTAGATTTATAGTTTTCATTAGACTTATGAATGTAAGAGGTTTTTAGTTAAAAGTTAATGTCAACAAGTTTACATTTATGTACAGCATAAAATCAATTGCAATTGTGTACGAAGTCAATGACAATTATGTATAGCATAAATGCTAAATGCTCTATTGTTTTATGTGAATTTTGGCTTGAAGGTATCAGTTATGTGCAGCATATAATTGCAGTTATGTACAGAATGTAGTGGCAATTATATGCAGCATATTCCGTTCTTCATACTAAGTGTTCCGTTTGCATGGCGATTTTTACTTGAAGGCATCAATTATAAGCAGCATGTAATATCAATTATCTACGAAATTCAGTGGCAATTATATGCATCATATTGCATTTTTCATACTATAAGTTCCAATAATTCATATGGATAGGTAAAAAGTTGTTCTTTAAAGGCTTTTAAATACTTGAAATAAAACTTTTTTGCGAATAATGCGCTATTTTTATAATTATTATAAGTTCGTAACAGCTATTATTACCTGTTATATTTGTTATGCACACTTCTAGCTAGCATCCTATGTGCTAAATACTTAAACAGCACAAAATGCCAATACCAAGAAAACTCAGAGCTTTTTGAAACTAAACAGTGCTCTTTTGTTCCAATTTTTCAATATTTTTTCTTTTAAATAAAAGTTGAATAAGTTTCAAATATTTAAAATATTTGTCTCTTTTGAAATCAATTACACTTTTCTCACTAAGATGGTTTATATAATTTAAAATTTGAAATTCAAGTTTTACTTTAAGTTCATGAAACTCAGAACGTGTCGTATTTCTTTTTCTTGCCGAAAGAGCTTTGAAAAATGCTCTGAGAAATGAGGTAAAATTAATTTTCAAACTGCAACATAAGTTGACGCTGTACCTCGGGAGAAAAGTTTTTATTGTCAAATATTTTTTCACTTGCGTTGTTAATTTAAAGTTTTGAGAAAAGTGAGTCCATGATTTGCTACCTACTGTTATTAATACAGTTGCCCAAGCACATAATCTTCTATGAAGGTGCGACGAGTTCGCTTCGCGGACAGTTCCACCGAATACATACTCAGTTCAAGTTTAAGATTTGCAGTAAGATTAGAATAAGCCATGAAGAATCAAATGCTTAAAAATATGTTGTCAAAGTGTCAAAAAGCAAACAAACCATGACAGTATTACGCAGTGGGGGAGTAATCCTGCCATAATTTGCTTGCATTTTGACACTATGAAATCAATTTTTCAGCGTTTGAACCTTCATGGTTCTTGAATTCACTTTTCTCTAAGCTTAAAATCAATATTGGAGGTAGAACAGAATTTGTCATGAAAATTTTCCCCCGGGATGTAACGTCTTCTAATACTCACTTCGAAGGAGTTGTAAGTTGGGTGTCTTCAGTAGGCAAAATGCATCCTCCTCTTATATGAATTGGAATATAATCATCGACAGTTTTTGACACGGTTTGTCCATCTACACTTTCTAGACTGCTCTAATAATGAAATTCAAATTATTAAGATACGTAATTCTTTGGCTAATATTTAGAAACATACAAAATTTTTCAAATCCCAGCGTTGACACAAGAATATCTCTTAAATTCCTTCAACACATTAAGAACTTCCTAAGTCCTGCACTTGTCAATTCATGACTCTGGACTATTAAAAATACGAAATTCCCATTCACATATAGATTGCAGCACCACAGAGCTGATTAATACAAAAACTCTAGTAATTCCCATCACTGATGATAGATGGTGCCACCAGATAAATCAATCAAGCCACATTCTGAAATTCAGTTGACAAAACACAACTCAACCATAGCCTAACCCCAATGTCCAATACCTAACGAAAAGCTTATCCAAACCTAACTCTAAATCTCAGTTAAATTTTATTTTTACGGTATAGTATAGAAATATGGGTGACACAGCATAATCATCTGTGCATAAGCTTGTTGTAAATGGTTACAAAACCGTATAGTTTTGCCTTCACAAATTTGTAACCATTCCAGTTGTAAACGGTTTCAAAACCGTAAAGGTAAAAAGTGCTCCTAACCGTAAATTTTATAATTAATTGGATGGAAAGACTGTTGCCGATAGTTTTACAGTAATTTTAGAATGAAAATCTAACTGTGTAAAAGAAAAGTATTCATAATATTTTCGTTTGATATTTAATATACATGAAACAAAATTAACAAGAAAATTTAAAAATCTTTAAATATTCAACAAAATTATGGAACAGCATTAATTTTAAAAATATTTAGATAAAAATAACTTCTAGTTAATCTTTAGATATCATTAGTCGATTCGCGAATAATTAAGCTTCACAGAAAGTTAAGATATAAAATAAGTTGTACGATAAAGTCAATTTGAAAGGTACATCGTTCTGTATTTACCATAAGGATTTCCCCATACTGAGTGTAACGTAATTGTTACACGTAATATATTTTTTTTAAATAATTATCAAAAGTAAATCTGAATTAATATGTGCGTTAAACTAGTAATAATCAACATCATGTTCTCAAGAACAAAGTGTATGTTACAAAAATATACAAAGTCTTCCGCATTCTTTATAAACTTCAACAATTATTCAAAATTATGTTATTTGTCATTCTCATATTCAATAATATATATCATACGAAATAAAATATAAGTCGCATTATACACCGAAGAGCCATTACATTATGACCACCCTCCACCTATAACAAATGGTATTGGTCCTCGTTAAACTGTGCTACTGTAAAGTGCTCGACTTCGCGTGCAGGTTATTGGGCTACCGAAGCGGGGGTGCCATCCCCTATGCAGAGGATCAAAATTGTGATGGCATGTCTTCGGATCATCCTCAGGGATATTTCCCAGACCGTCGCCAATAACCCATTATGCAGCTCTAGTGCGACGTAAATGAACTACAACAACAACATCTACAACAATGGGCTCGCCCAGGTTTTCATGGTTTCTAGCCCAGGAACTATGTTTTCATGGGGCACATGAGGACCCATGATCCTCATAGAGCAATCCCTGACGTCTGTAAGTTACTTGAACATAGTTGCAGACCAGGTTCACCCATTCATGGCAACAGTATTTCCTGCTGGGGATGGTGTTTACCAACAGGATAATGCACCATGTCATAAGGGTCGAATCGTCATGGATTGGTTCGAGGAACATTCCAGGGACTTTCAAGTCATGTCTTGGCCCCCAAATTCACCCGACCTTAATCCAATAGAGCATTTGTGGTCCTACTTGGAAAACCAAATTCGTGCTGCCACGCTACCCCCTCGCAATGTGAGGTAATTGCAGGACTAGTTGGTGAGCGCTTGGTACCAGATACCTCAGACTACCTATCAGCACCTTGTGGAATCAATGCCATGGCGAGTGCTACCAGTTTTGAGGTCTAAAGGTGGTCCTACATGTAATTAGCAGGGTGGTCATATTGTAATGGCTCTTCGGTGTGGTGTATGAAACGTCATGGTCGCAATACAACAATTGAAAAGGCAATAATTAATATTTGACAGTTATTTAATAAGAGTATACTTACATTTTCAAATTTAAAATCCCACCATTCACCTTTGGGTAAATATGCATCAACGTTCGTTTTTCCCTAAATTAAAAAATGTGTAGTTAAATATTTATTTCTGATTATTAGTATATTATTAATGAGATAAATTAATAGATTGTCAAATAAAAATAATGTCTTATTAAATATTAAAAATTGATATAAATAATTATAAATTATACAATATCAGTTTATCAACATACTTCGATGTATCTTTTCTTATCGTATCTTAATGATTTATCTTAACGTTAATGCGTCATATACTTCGATTTTTGATAATAATTACAAAAAAAATATGTTAGATATTTGAGACTAGATTTAGATACAATTTATACTGCCACCACTGACCTTTATACATATACAAGATCAAAATTATGTGCGCATTAGGAAACTAAATTTATACTTCACCAGATTTTGACACAAATGTTAATTTTCCTCACCTAATAGTCCAGTAAATAATAGCTCAAAAATCGACCACAATTGGAGAAAGTGTGTGAAAAACTGGAAATTGTTCTAATGATTTTGTTTTTCTTCTAAATGAAAGGTACAAAAGTTTCTCTCTCTCTAACTAGTAAGCTTTAACTATTACGCAAGAAAGATTTTTAATTGGCAGCATACCATGATTGGTATGCCGCGAAATGCCCCAGATTATCCCTACAGTGCACTTGTCCTAGATTTGCTCAAACAGCTTTGTCAAGACCTGGTCAAGACTTAGAGCCGGCCTTATAAAGTGTTTGACCTTCAGAGCGAAAGAAAAGACATGACTATTGTCATTGCTCGGCCATCGCTTCTCCATCTCATCTTTTGGATTGCATTGGTGCCTCTGTGAGGCAACTGATGAGTGATGGAGAGACTGTCTATGACTTGCTGATACGACATGATCTTCTGGACTTGGTCTTGGGCTCTAGACCAAGGGGATAAGTAACAACAACAACAACAAGAAGATTTTTAAATTTTTTGAAAATTTTTGACCTTTTTTTTTAAATTTAAGAAATTAATTACTAGTTTCATGAATTTAAAGGGTTTTATGGCTTTTTAAAAAAAGTAAAAATTATTTTATTTTACTTAAACACAACTACCTTATTTTTTTAACAAAAGTTCAATTTTTGGGTACTCAAATTAGAGTTTTGTGTTCAACATTTCTTGTTCTACAGATTTGTTTGTTAAATGGGAATTTTTTACTTAATTTCAAATTATCTAAAAGAGTCTGAAATTATTTTCAGTGTCTTTCGTGTGTCAAAACCGAAGTTTTTCAAGCAGAGAGGAGCAAACATTTAATCCTTCTAATTGGATACAACTCAAATAAAACAATTTCCAGCTTTCCACGATTTTTCCCAGTAAAATCCTACTTTTACTGGGTTGCAATTATTAACTTGTGACTTTCTTATGTACTTGTGCATATATTCTTAGCTAAATTTTTAACTAATATTCGAAAAATACATATTTTGGATAGTAACTAAAGGACAGGTTGGATATTGTCAGAAGCCTACATAAAACTATTCAAAAAATTTCTTTAATACGCATATTTAATTCAGGATTCAATATTGCATGTTTTTATAATTTATCGATTTCCTCTATTATTATTCTTATACAATTAAAAATTGCCATCAATAAATCGTATAAAAATAAGTTAACTTTTTTCTAGAAAAAAATAAGTCAAAAATTATACTTCTCTTAGGAGTGGCGAAACAAGAAGGCATTTTCCCCACATAAATTGTTCATCGATGTCCCACGTTGTTTGGTCGGCTGGGAATCTAAATTAAATTAATTTTTTCTAGATTCTCTCAGTAATAAAAATACTAACAAATTATATGGTTCATAAATTAACAAGATATTATGCATTAGAATATGAATAAAAAGGTTACTGTGCATAAATTTGAGATCATCATAATTAGTGACCACTTGAAATCATCACTTAATAGAGCTTAATTATTATAATACCTGAATTAAGAATTGACTTTCAAAACGCGTTTTGTCAATTACATGATACGCAAGCCTTTCGTATCATGTAAGTTCGTACTTGAGAAGTTCGTCATTAATTTAAATACAGTTGTATTAACAATATTTCGTACCAGTATTTACTACGCGATTCAAAAAATTTTCAGTTTCTTCCTCGAATTTAAATTTTGTGTTCACGGCAGAAAATATAAAAATTGTCCAAATGAACAGTAGACAATTCAAGATGAGAACACCGTACATAATTAACCAGTTCTCGTGTATTAGTATTGTGTATTAGCAATAGGTTATGATGGTATGCTTAAATTATTTTTGTTAGTTATTTATGGGCACAATTTTATTTAATTTTTTTTGGGCACCGCGTTTTAATTTAAATAATCTCATTCTGTATTTTAATCTATATTTTTACTTTAATCAACAACCCCATCCGATTTTCACCTACACCCCTATCCTTCAACACCTTCCAATATTTTTCCTTCACCCCTACTTGAGAATGGATTGCTTCACAAGTGTGAATAGTCAAAACGATAGTAGCGCCACCCTTTGGTGCGGATGAATACATGAGCGGGAGAAAAGAGCGGCAATTCGTTTTTTTAGGCATTCCATGTGCTGACGATTGGTGATGAACGTGATCTGAGGGATGATGCGGGGTGGCCGGCCACGCGCGCTTTTAGGATAAGTCTTTTACTATTTTTTTTTAAAATTTTTATGTGCCCGTAATTTCTTTTATTATTATTTTATTTTGATATGATGTTAACTAAAGAAAAATGATTATTTTTAAATAATCTGTCTAACTGAAATGTAAGTCATGTAGCAGTAAACCAACTCCTTTTTAAATTGTAAACTAATTTGACTTATGATTAAGTTCTTTAAATAAAAACATTTAGTCTAGATTAGTTATGTTGTTGGATGTGAATCCTTTAAATTTAAGTTACTTTTATCTTTCAGCTCATCAAGATTATTATTGCAGTAATAGTAAACGTGCTAATAATTTTAAATTAACTTAAATTACTTCTACTTGTTATATCTGGTAAATTATGTTAGTTAAAGTTAAATGTTCTCACAACTCAATATTTTTAAAAAATCATTTTTGATTCCTTAAATATTTTTTTTCTCTATTCAAAAATAAGATATAACAGTATTGTGTATTAGCAATAGTATCGTGTACTCGTGTACAAGATCATCATAAAGTCGTTCTTAGAAGGGTGCATGCAGAACTGTACAATGCATATTTGTATGATTTTTAGTGACAGGGAGTGATAGATATCGCGATTACATAATGCTGCATAAATGTCACGCTTCGCAACTATTCAATTACTTCTAGTTCTACTATTCTATTCTAGTTCTGCTAGTACAACTATTCAATTACTTCCAGGCCCGGACTGGCATGTAGGCAGACCGGGCAAATGCCCGGTGGGCCGGTTTGGCCGAGCCACCAGGGCAAATTTTTTTTTATACATTGCTTGAATTTAAAATAATATTGTGCAAATAATAATAATATTAAATAACATATATATGATACATGTATTAATAATGATTTAATATACAGGGTGATTCTGACCATGCGTGCCACCTATTTTTTTCGAGAATGGAGCAAATAATCGGTTTGAAATAAAAAAAAATCTGATACCTAAATCGACCCCAAAGACACCCAATCGACCTGATCTTCAATAGTGATATTGTTTATTCCCGGAAGTACCAGAATTTGAACACAATTTTGATTTTTTAACAGGAAACCTATATCTTAGTTGGCTGGGAGAGGGTTTTCGAAAAAAAGTAACTTTTACTTGAAATTGTTTTTTATATCTCTTACTGTTCTCAAGATAATAGTTACGAAAAAAATCTGATTTTTTACTTCAATTCCTCATTTTTAAAAAAAATAATTAACTTGAACTATCAAAATCACTTTAGTTTTCATAAAACATGGAAAGAAAAGCACAAATGTGTTTTAATGAAATTATAAGACATTATGACGAAAAAAAAATTTTTTAGTGAATATGTCAAAATCTATTTAATATGTATTTTTTTTAAATATATATTATCGTGAAAATAGTAAGAGATATTAAAAAATATTTTAAGTAAAAGTTATTTCTTTTCAAAAACTCTCTCCAATGATGCCAAATAAATAAGATATAGGTTTCAATTAAAAAAATCAAAGTTGTGTTCAAATTCCGGTACTTCCGGCTACTTGCGGGAATTAACAATATCACTATTGAAAAGATTTTGGAACTTGTTGTTCTTCTTAGCAAATATGATATTACTTTGAAAGACCATTTGAAAGATTGTATTGAGAGCTTCTTGAGTCTCAATACAATCTTCATGAGTCTCATGACAAAAAATTTCATGAGTCTCAGTACAAAAAACTTCATGAGTCACAAAAGAGCAAAGGCAGAAGGTCTTTTTTAACGTTTCTTTCCAAATCCACCATTAATAAAATTATTCAATCAATTGGACAACTTATAACACGGAATATTAGCATGGAAGTACAAGCAGCTGGTATGTTTTCTTTACAAGTGGATACAACACAGGATATTTCAAGCTAAGATCAATGCTCAATTATAGTACGATATGTGAAAACGATTGTGTATATGAAAGACTTCTCGCTATTGTAAAGTGTAAATCTTCAACCGGATAAAATATGTTTTCTTTAGTGGATTCAGTTTTAAAGTCTTGTAATATAGGTATAACAAAATGCATCGGTAATTCAACTGACGGAGCTGCAAATATGCAAGGTGAATATAAAGGATTTTCTTCATGGCTTTCCAAAGAGTCCCATGGTCATATTCATGTTTGGTGTTATGCACATGTCCTAAATTTAGTTTTAGGAGATACCACGAATGCACTAATTGAAAGTGCATCGTTTTTCAGCCTACTAAATAGCGTCTCAGTATTTTTCCGTGAATCACACCAACTCATGAACAACTGGGAACAAAGTTACGAGCACGGAAATAAAAACAAGTTTCGCAACTATTGGAGAAACCCGTTGGTGGTTCAAAGATTCTGCATTAAAGAAAATTTTTGGTTCATTTTCAAACTCAGATTTAACTGTAAAGCCGCTATATGTCACATTGATTACAAGTTTAGAAACTATACAACAAAATTCAAATTTCAAGCCAAATATCCGTGCAAAGGCAAAAATATTTTTAGAATCATTTTGCAAATATGAAATAGTAATCGCCGCAAAAATATTCTCAAGAATATTTTAATTAACTGCACTGCTCTCCCAATATTTGCAAACCTCAGGTTTAGACATCTTAAAAGCTTTTGAAATGGTATCACAAACGTGTTCAGAACTAAAAAAAAAATAGAGAGAGATTTTAAAGGTGTACAAAAATTTTCAGATGATTAAATTACTCGTGCAAATAAGAAATTTGAAGAAACTGAAATAGAAATTCAAACAAAGTTTCCACAACAAAGATTGAAGAAAAGAAAATTGATGCCGGGTGAGACAGCGTCGAATGAAACATTTTTTGATGATGGTTAATGACATTTAAGATAAACGCCCATAACATTATTTTCAGCACAGTTGTAGCGTCAATGGAACGCTGTTTCCCTCAAATGGAAAATTGTACGCCGATTTTTCCTATCTAGATCCGAAACGTTTCCCTGAAATATAACAAGCTTCAATCTGGCGAACTAAATGAGTTAAGCAAACTCTTGCTAAAATTTGACGAAACAGCTATAGGTGAAAATTTGCGGATTGAACTAAAAAATTTAGTTTTACATTGGGAAAAGCTGAAAAAATTCAGACATAGAAGATTATGAAATAATCCGAGAAGATCATTCAAATGAAGATAATAACGATTTTACTTTGGAAACGGAAGAAGTAAGTCTAAAATGTGAGACACGCAGTGCGTGTAAAAAATGTGTTATTTGTTGCAACAAGATATTACAGAGATTCAATTTATTGACCAATTCCTTCAATTTAATTGATCTATCTTTAAAATTTTTATTAACATTGTCAATAAGTCAGGTGACTTGTGAAAGGTGGCATTCTCCACATTAAAAGTAATTAAAAACCGAATGAGGAGTACTTTATCTTTGGATAATTTGAATGCTCTCATTGTATTGGCAATGGAAAAAGATCTATTAATGAAATTAGATTGCGGTGACATAATCGATTAAGTGGCAGAAAATAGTGAGCTTCTTTAAAAGTCATTAAATTAAACTTTAATTTAATGACTTTTGAAGAAGCATTAAATCTATTTTTAAAAAAATGCTTTTATAAATAATTCATGTATGGGTAATATAATAAATACTATTTTTATTTACTCTTCCTCTTTCACTTTCTTTTTGATTTTATCAACCTATATTTCCTCATAAGAACCATGTATTTTAAACTGAAATATATTCTTTAAAGGATTATTATGCAATTTTTATCTACTTCCTTTCTTCGATAAATTAACTTACGTTCATGAGAATTTATAAGTAAAAAATGCCTAAAAATGATACATTAGGAGCCGGGCTGTTATCTCTAAAATGCCCGGGCCGATTTTAGATCCCAGTCCGGGCCTGATTACTTCAGTTCATTGACAACAACAATGGATTCAAGGGAGTTCATAGTGTTTGCTTGCTTTGAGTGCAGATCTAATAGTTATATATGTCCTTCCACACCATTTGTTCACAGCCATTTGTCTTAAACATATCTTGCTATAACAATAAACATTTGATGAAAAATATCAACATCATGCTTAAAAACTGAGCCCCGCGTTGTCCTGTTTCGGAAGCATCCATCTCACCACAACTTTGCATTCGCTTAAAATGCTCTCAGGCAAACTTCTTAATCAGTTATTATTCGGAATCCGGCGTGCGCTTCGTTTAAATTAATTTATGACTCTGTAGGATGACGTTACTGTCGCTACTGTATTTTAGACGCTGACCAACTTTTCTTCTCATGGAAACCAATCTATCAGTTTATCAATGCAATATACTGCATCTTTGACATTTTCAGTCTACATTCTTCGGAAAATGTATTCAAATGATGCAAATTTTGCATAAATGTTTTTAAAAATTGAAGTTCTATTTTAATTACTCTAAGTCCTAATAGAGGATTAACATATTTAAAATTAGGATAACTTTTCTTACTCATGAAATAGTGGTCTGACAACGGTTTTGCCATCGGTGTGAGCCCTATAAAATAAAGTGTAGAGGTAAGGATTCAACTTATAGCGTCGGTTAACTGCCTTTCTGGAGATTTCAGCTACTTCCTCACCCATAAAAGCTGGATCTTGTTCCTAAAATAAATTAAAGAAAAGCAATTGTATCATACAAATCGTGGCTTGCTTCATATTGATCTGGAACCACTAAGGCATGATACTCTGTAAAAAATTCCGGATCAAACTACATAAAAAAAGTACCGTCGTTCTTTACTGGACATGTTATGGAACAAAAATTCTGATGTAAGTCAGTAAAATCAGTGGATCACTCTAATTAAAAAAATATTACCGTAAAAATTACGGTATAATATTTAACTGTAAAAATGGATTTTACAGTAAAATGGATTTTACGGATTATACAACCAAAGTGTCGGTGCTTTACACCGTTATTTGATCAGGAATTTTTTACAGTTTAGTCAGTTTATTAGGAAGTTCCATATAAGTTTATGGCGGCTAACTTTTTCATTCTATTACTATGTAATGATTTCTGTTAAAACTATAATTCATACACAGTGTGCATTTAAAAAAAAAACAGAACGCCTTAATTACCTTTGATATTCTGCTTGAATTATCATGTCCTAATATACAATTTTAATGGTTCGAAGATATTGCCTAAAATATAACTAGTTTATGCCGATGATATTTTAAGTTACGAAATCAGACATAAAATCATACTTTCTCTGAATAAACATACGGATTTTTTTTCTATTTGTTTTGAATAAATCTACGGATTTTCGACAAGTAACGATGTACCGGGTAGTGGTGATCTGGAAAATATGATCTCAATAATTTAACTTTCCGTTCTTCAGATTTGATTACTGGAACCATATTACCTGACTAAACACTTCATTCGCTTCAAATATATACAAACATGTCGACTGTTGCTTTATATTTGTATATTTTTTTTAGCAAATGAAGTTTTCAATCAGGTTATATCTTACTACTTCAGTTTCTTGGGATTACTTATTTATTGTTGGAACCATAGTTTTCACGTGACTAATACATAATTTGAAGATCAAAAATCATCCGGAAAAAAATGGTAATTTACTTAGTGATAAACATTGAAAGATTTTATAGTCAGGATCAATTCGCAGAAATAAGATAGTTTTGTCTACCACAATATATTAATAATGCAGGTATTTATATTTAAATCTGAAATCAAGGCACAGTTCTTTTTTAAAGCTGAAGGACCCAGATAGCAGACAAACTTACGGCAAACGTTTTATTTTCATTTGGTGGGCACAAAAAGTTTGCTTAATTAACCATCAGTAAACTTACTAGAAATATCAGTATGCCAAGCTTGTTTCCTTAAAGATTGAATAAAGGCATGAAAAAAACTTTACAAAAAATCTCATTTCTTAAGCTTTTCTGCAAACCTTGTTTTCGTATGTTTTTCATTCTACTTTTGATCACACACACATTTTATTTGTGAGAAAACATAATGATCAGGCCAACCTTCACTTTTACAATGTTAAAGAATGTTTATAAAAGCTTGCACAAAAAACCTTGTTTCAGTGAGGGCTGTAAAATCGAAAATAATCCTTGGGAAGGAGAATTTATTCGCTGGTTGAGAATACTTTATTGCGCGAAAAACGATTTATACTTGATTTCAAAAGGTTTTTCTAGCCTTGCTTTGTAGAGGCAAATTCATTATCTATAAAAAAGGGTTGTTTATGCGAGCTTAATGTTTATGGCACGAGAAAAATAATCACTTAATATAAGCAATCGGGTACTATCTTTTTTATAATATTGGTGTTTTTTATATAAATATTAATTTCTCCGGCTAGAAAATCCAAGCAAAACGTCTCATTTGATCAAGGGAAAAGTCGCTTAACACACACAACGACTTCTTAAAATGTTGAAGGAAAAATCCTTTGTACTCGCCTCACTTTGTTAATTTAAATTTTTATGCATTTGTTTCGTGGCAAAATTATTTAAATATCTAAAAAGACTGTCTTCTAAAATAAAAATGCATAAGACATAGAGAGAAAAAAATTAAGAAAGAGATAGTATAAAACATGGTACTTCAGCTTATTTTGAAATTGTAAGCAAATTTGTAAGAAATTTGTTATGTAAATTTGAAACCAACAATTATATTGTCACGTAATGAAAGGCCAAATTCTTAGGTTCTTTTATACTAAAACTTTTAAATTTGTTAGAAAATATCTCTAAAACAAGTATGAACTACACATTTTATGCATAATTTTACTATTCTAAAAAGTTTAAACGAATAGTCTCAAAACACCGAAGAAGAAAGATGTACTTGCCAATAAAAACTTAGTTTGTTTTAAAATTTAAGGGGGGGGGGATGACATATTTCGAACTCTCGAAATCGAGTTTATTCTCAAGACAACAGCATGTGAATGATGAATTCAGAACAGGTTAAAAAGTTTTAAAAAAAGCGCAATTTAAAAATAATGGGATGGAAATTGTTGGGTGAAATCAAAAAAAAAAAAAAAAAAAATTCGTGGTGACAGAAGGAGGCAAATCATGGAATACATTTTAATGCGGAATGCAGAAATGGGGCGGAACTAAGGTCATCTAGTAAGGAATCAGCTTTCATATGAATGTAACAAGACTTAAAAGCATCAAAATAAGTTAAAGTATAAGTAATGGAAAGAGTTCTGCAGTCATAAAAGTTGAATTTATGGTCAAAGTTCAAATAATATGCAACAATAGATGATTAACCGAACTTGTGATACAGATATGTCTATCTCCTTTGGCAATTGCACCTTTTCTTATTCTTAATCTGTGTTGCTTTAACACTCATTTACGTGTAGCTGTCTTGAGAATAAGCGTCGTCTTCGAGCACTCAATCGACATTTCCTATTTTATTTATGAAACAAACAAAGCATTTATTGACTTATATATTCAAGAAATTCGAATAAAAAGTTCGACGTGATTGGTTAATAACATTCCGTTCACTTTTTTGATGGAAAGATTTCCCAAATTATGAGACACTGTTCGAATCTATTGATAGAGAAACTCTATTCTGGGAATAAAAAAATTATTAACTATAATTTTACGAACTATAACAACTCAGCTAAGAAAATGAGTTTAATTTTGAAATTGAACAGGAAATAAAATATCTACTTTCATTCCCCATCCGTTGTGGTTTCTATAAAAAGGATAGAAAGCTCCGAGCTGCATCCATCTTTTGCAGAGATCAACGGTTGTGTCAAATTCAAATCCACAAACATCAGCTCCAATCTGGAATCAAAAGTCATCTATTACTACCTGTCTATTACAAAGAACTGGTATTAAGGAAAGAAAATCAATACTTACGTATGGTATGCCAAATAGATTAAATTCAAGCATTCCTGTAAAGGAGTATCGATTATTAAAAAAAAGACTCACAATTATAACTTCTCTAATAAAAAGAGCTGAATGGAAGGCTCTAAATAACAAGAGTGTGAATTTTAATAAATTTTCTTTAACGTTTAGTCATTGTTCTTTTGGGAGAAACTAAGAATAAACTTTTAATAAGAATAAGTATTTATTCTTTATCCTAAGATTTTAATTGGCAAGATCTGTAGATATCCAAAACTTATTTAAACTATTCACTTCTTAGCATTGGCACCATCAACGTCTTAATATGCTGATAAAAAAATTGGCTGTTTGTCACCGAAAACAAGAGGAAGTTTCTCTAGTGCAAACACACTCATTTAAAGGCTGTTACTTCCATCTACGTAAATTAATCCGTATTTTATTGCTAAATATGTCTAAAAATCTTTAGTCGAAAAATCATGATGTTTTCAAAAATGTCTTTTACAGCATTCTGCTCCTAAGATCTTTTATTATAAGCATAAAAGGCGAGTGCTATAATTCGGTAATTTCATTTTTAAAACATCGAAAATGACTTTTTTTTTTAATTTGACGAGTGAAGTATCTTCGTTTTAAAAAATTTGTACCCTATTACTATTTTGATTTCAGTATCATCTGTGATAGACAAACATCATATTTCCTGATTTTTTTTTTCTCTAAGTATTTAATAGTTTCCTAACTTTTCGGACACTATATCATAAAAGTTCTCAGCATTCTTCATTAGAAACCAACATTACTACTCTATTATCTCCCGCGGATATCTCCGGCTTTCTTTTTTAAAATGTTAAAAAAAAACAACATTATAACGTGAAAACATCTTTACAAAATTATACAGGGTTTATCAATTATGAACCATCTTCACCTATGACTGAGTCGTGCAAGTCAGACCAGAAACTTCGATTGTCACCTAGCCAATGTCCAGTATAGCGTCCACTGGACGTATATGTTGACCTTGAAATAACTAAAGCTCTTGTGCCAATTGATTGTTCTCCTGCACTGAAATTTAAAAAAGAAATAGTATTAATATAATTCTTACTGTGTGCAAAATACGTATCAAAACTCATTCAATAAAATTTTTTTAAATACGTTTGAGTGTCTGAAATCTTAATTTCATGGAAAATAATAAAATTAATTAATTAATTAATTAATTCAAGCTTACCCTGTAAATAAACTTTATTTTATTTTTCCCATTTCCTTCAAATTTGCCACAACTTAAATAAGTATTACATTAAACCTTATTACTGCAAAAGTAAATTTATTAATTCTCAAATGCAAGTTTAGTCTTGTAATTTTAAGTCGAATTAATACTTTACCTAAGTCGCAGTAATTTACTACAAAATAATTTTCTTGTGACTCACATGAACATTATTTTGTAGTAAATTACTAGGTTAAAACTCACATCATTTAAACATATTCTTAATCATTTTCATTAGTTGTTTATTCTGAGCTTTAATTGAATTGCAAGAAAAACAATCTAAATTGCTTAAACTTAAAATAAAATATTATACACTTTCCTTTTACTTTTCAATTTTTTTTACTGATACAAATTATTTTTGGAGAGATAAATACAATTTTCTTTGTGCAATGAACAAATTTAATTAAAAATCCTTATTTAATATGTGACGTCTAATGCATGTTAAATCTTTTCAAAGCTTAATGCAGATTTTTGTGTGGTATAGTAGTTTAGTTTGAGATCAAGCACTGAAATATAAATAATATAATTTTATTGGGTTTAAATGACACTTTTATCACAAAAGATCGTTAGTGGAAAAAGATTATTCAATGAATTTGCCATGCAAAACTGCTGAGTTAATTGAACAAAACCTTTTACATGTTGAGAATTGTACATCCTTTTTTTTAATTTCTTTTTTCTATTTCAAAAGTTGGGAAAGAGAAATTTTTTAAAAACTTATTTCAAAAGATCAAGCATAATAAAATTGTGAACATTTGGCTCTAAATTGTGAAAATGAAACTTAAAATAACTCAGAGAAAGCTTTGTTGTATGTTTTAAGTTTAACAACAATAACTAAATTTTAATTTAACGAATCTGTTTTTTTAAATAAAAAATTTATACTAATTTAAACTAAAGATAATTAGCCTTTTTAAGTAACCATAACATCATACTCATTATTGCATATTTACTCCGTCTTTACACAAAAATGAATCAAAGTTGAAAGTCAATATCTGTACTTTATAACATATAGTGCAAATATGCTGCAATGTGAATAAATTGTTAAGAATAATACAAGTAAATAAATACAAGAAAAGTTATAGTATTGTTCGACAATATAGCGTAACTTAATTACTTAAGACTCTACTGAGGTTGCTGCATATTTTCATGTTTTATCTTAATTTTAACAGTAGAATCGTACAATAAATGCAAGGAAAATTATAGCAATGAATGGTAATACATTGCTACTTAATGCCTTATACCTTAATAAATTTTGCTGTATATATACCCCTAAATATATTTGCATGTTTTAGCTCAATTCGAACCATGGAATAGTACAATTAAATGCAAGAAAATTTATTGTCATGTTTGGTAATATAGTTCTACTTGATTGCCTAGTACCCTAATAAGGTAGCTGCATATATGCACTTAAATATATTTAAATGTCTTAGCGCAATTCGAACCATAGAATAGTACGTTTAAATACAAGAAAAGTTAAAGGATTGTGTGATAAAAAAGTGTTGCTTGACAGCTTACTACCCTACTAATGTTGCTGCATATTTCAATTTAAATATATTTTCATGTTTCAGTTCAATTCGAACCATAGAATAGTACAATTAAATGCTAGAAAATTTATAGGATTGTGTAATAATATAGTGTTATTTAATTGATTGATACCCTAATAAAATTGCTGCATCTATGCACTTAAATATATTTACATGTCTTAGAGCAATTTGAAACCATAGAATAGTATATTTAAATACAAGAAAAGTTAAAGGATTGTATGATTAAATAGTGCTACTTGATTGCTTACGACCCTACGAATGTTGCTGCATATTTGAATTTAAATATATTTTCATGTTTCAGCTCAATTTGTTCCATAGAATAGTAACAAAAAAAATTATAGTAGTGTTCGATAATGTAATGATCTTTAATTGCTTAATACCCTAATAGGGTTGCTGATTATTCACACTTCAATACTGTTCAGCGTGAACCAATATTTGTTTATAATAATGTATTGAAGATTGAAAGAAAATCTTACTCATATGTAGGTTTAGTTTCACTCCACCCATACAAACTGTGCACATCATAATGTAAATACGTATCCTTGCCATTTGAGTGAATACTATCCATGCAAAGTGTTTTCATTGACAACCTCGAACTTCCACCACGTTTCACTAAAATAAGATTCATTAAAATATAAAATTTAGCAGAAAATTAAATTTTCACTTTTTTTTTTTTACTTTCAATTATCAGTCAAACATTTTGTGCAATTGTGCTTGTATTTGTATCAGTACAAAAAATTTTAACAATTTAATATTCATTGGATTTGTCAATATCGTTTTGTAAGCTTTACATGAAGTCGAATTAAAATCCTTTCTTAAGATGAAAGCAACACTAAAACTATCAAAGGAAAAGAATTTGTTTTCCTTACATTTTTTGAAAGTTCACAGTATAAAATTAATGTATCAAATAATTGGATGTGTTTGGGTGATAGTTCTAAAAGAACTACGAAAATTATGGTACACGGAGAAAAACATTTTGGTGAAATTACTTAACTGTATAATAGTGATATTTCTCGTAAAAAAAAATTTAATTCTGGGTTATAAAACCAAAATATGTGGTATTTAAATCATTGATTTGGTAAATTTTGCGTTCATATGGAAAAAAGTTTAACGGAAATTCTGATTTTCAAAATTGTAGTCTTTATTACCACACATTTAATAAAAATATAAATCTGAAAAGTAAATTTAATTGTAAATTTTTATACCATGTTCTAAAGTATCAGGATTAAATTACCAAATTTTACCAAGTATTATAAAACCATATTTTATCGTTAATTTTGCCGAAGCGCTTCGGTAAAAATTACCGAGCTTTTTGATGTTCCTATTGAACAAGAAACACACACTTTATCTACAATTTATCACATTCTAGTAGTTTAGAACCATACTCTTTTTCTCAGAGCACCGCCTTGAATTATATTAATAGACCATTCAAGTCTTACGTAAGCATTTGATAGAGGTTGTTTTGTGATTTGCTTATTTTTGCTAATAATAGGAGAGAGGGTGCATTATAACCAAAAATATGCTTACGTTATATTTTTTTACTTACGAGGGTTGTAAGGAGGGTATTCATAATCACTCTCCGGACAATTTAATGACCAACATTTCTTATCATTTGGATCTGCGCAATAAAATTTATCATCCCCATTAGTTCCAAAATTAGCAGGTTCATTCATATCCTAAAAAACATTAATTTTTTTTAGAAGTAAAATTTTTACATCCATAAAATAGTTTGCAAACTATAAAAATATACACATATTTAGATACACAGCTTAATCTTCATCTTAAAAGGATCATAAAAGCATTCAGTTTCAACTTCAATAAAGTACTAAATATGTAATGATTGTTTATTGAAAAATTAATGATTGAACTTTTTGAAAACTTTAATTGGTTAATTTGTTGTTTTTGAAACTATTTTTTAACCAAAATTCTGAATCATAATTGTTTGAAGTTTTGGCTATGGGACAAACTTAGAAAAAGGATTTTTTTCTATTGAATTTTAATAACTAGTAACTTCAAAATGAAATTAAACTTTAGTACTCGTAAATAACTTGAGAGGAAAACTAATATTCCAAACTAAAACTAATGATTAAATGATTATAAGACATTTTTAAGAAATTTTCAAGCCAAATACATTCTTTTTCTCACAACCCACTATTGTTCACGTTGTCAAAAAGTCAAAATTTTTAGGGCAAATGTTTACAGATTTATAAAGCATAGTTTATAGAATGTATCATTTTTTTCGAGAGCTCTTCGGATAGTAGCTACGCACAATTGAAGCTGTCCCATATGAAGTTACACACAGTTTTGATAGCTTCGAGTGGGACTATAATAAAACAGGTTTGTGATAAATATTATAAGAAATTAAAGTATCTCTTAATCTTAAAATGAAATAAAGAAAAGTTTAAAGGTTAAATTTTTTACTAAGATTAGTTCAAGAAGATGAATAATTTTTATTAAATTAATTTTTATATCAGTTAACTATTTTAATAAATATATATTAATGGAACGAGAATTTTAGCTTCAAGTGACTATATTTAAAAAACTATCTTTATCATATTATTTTTTAATAAAAAAATAACAAAAGAATTACTTACTATCCATATACCATCAAATTCAAGTTCCTTGTGAAATTCTACAAAATTATTGATCCACCATTTCTTAGTTTCTTCAAGAAAAAAATCGGGAAATGCAACTGTCTCATTAGGCCAAACCTGAAAAAAAAATTTGTGTATCTCAAAAAAAGAAAATAAATACATTAACTGCACAAAATCCAACTATAACCTTCTTTTATTAACATCAGAAATAATGACCGTTAAAATGAAGTTTTCAAAAATAATAACAGGAGAAAGTGCTTGAAAAATGTCACAATAATGAATATTAGAGAAAAATAATTTATAAATTAATTACATATCATGATGTTAATCATAATGCATAATTAATAATTAATCATTATAGCAAAAATATTAAAACAAAAAATAGGTTCACAAGACATTTAAATGGCTGCAACAAATGTTATTCGTTACATATTGTAAAATAAAGAGTAGAAACAACTATATCTTGAGTAATAACAGTAATAACATGATCTTATCTTATTATCTTGCAGTAATAACATCTTATTATCGGATGTAATATTAAGAGATTTACAAATATAAAAAAAAATAATATATATTATTACGTATATGGTTTACTACGTATTATTGCAGAAAAAATGCTTAACATGTTTACTATCAAATAGTTAGTTAAATGTTTGAATACGTTTTTGTAACATTACTTATGACAATACACATTAAAATAGATGCATAAAGACAATTGATTTCATATTTGTTTATTTTAAAATTAAAAATTACTTCTGACTTAAACGCGTAGAAAAAGTACTTTTTTTTCTATTTGAAACCCTTATTTCCGTTTTTCTTTTAACTACAATCCAACATTTAAAGCATTTTTATTGCGTATATAATGCGTAGCTAAACAATATTTACTAAATAGTTGAACATACTCTTCCAAATGTGACATTTAAATCTTGAACCTCTGCTGGGAACATAGATTTATCCCAAGATGGCGATCGCTTTACATAAACATTATCCTTTATTCCAGATTCATAAGGTTTATATCCAGTCTTGACAGCAATAGCTGGGTCCTGTAATAATATATGAATTCAATCAGTACTTTTAAATTAAAGTCTCGTTAACTTAAGAGCAATTAACATCATCTTCATTCAATGAAAATTGTCATTTGTTTTCACTTCTGGAAAATAGATATGTTTAACAAAAAATTCTTCAAATAATATTTTCTACCTTAAAGATGCCACTAAAAACTTCAACATGCGTATTATTTTCTGTTATCGACTTTCTTATTCAATTAGATTTCGGGATACGGTACAGTTCATTTTTATGCATGTCTGTAAATGCATATTTATATATTTTTAAGTTAATGCTGAGATTCATTCTTACTGAATCTTCTGTTCCAAGTTCATCATTTATCAATGAATTACCTCTAAATGTGTTAAAATATCTTAAATAACATCATTTGAAAAGATTAAAATTAAAAGCAAAGTATTAAAATTAAACTCAAAATTACTAACGAAGATACACAAGACGTCCCTAACCAATGAAGAATATATGTTTTGTATGGTTAACACTTCGAATTCTTTGATCCAAGAAATACGATTGGTCAAAATTTTTTTTAGGAAATCAATATCAACTATTTTCAGCATAATAATTATAAAAATTATGAATACTACGGTTATGTTTAGCTCTACTTTATGGTTCATCCTCTTCAAGGAAACACTTTAAGTTTTTTAATTATTTGACTTAAACATTTGTTAACAAACAATGTTACATAACTTTAAATATAAACATTTCAAAACTTACGAATTGCTAAAACGTTTAAAATTTCATTTAATTTTAAATTTTATGACTAAAATTTAACAAAAAAGATAAAAAAAGAAATTCAGCATACGACAATAATGATCCATTTCAATCCATGCTCTTGCTTAGTCTGTTTAACATACTCAGCTAAGCCTTTAAAAGTTTCTTTATTATAGGTAAAGTCTTTGTTTCCAGCCATGTGATCAATATCCAGAAATTGAACATCCTTAAAGAATAAAAAAATGACAGTGTTAGCGAAATTCCGAATTAAAGTTAAGGGGAAAGAACGATTTTTGTCCATTTTTCACAAAAAAAGCAGATTGAATCTCCATCTGTTGCATATTGGTGATTACTAAATTTTGACAAATCACTAATGTGGAAGATTGGTTCTCTTCAAAAGTTATTATACAGTGAAAATGAACCATGCTGGGGAAAAAGGGATCCTGTCCACGCATAGACAAGGAGAACAGTATAGTAAATATAGTAAAGAAGACGTTGGGAGTAGTGGGGAGGAAATATTGTTCGGGAAGGAATTTTGAGGAAAAGGGGTTTTTCTCCAGCCAAGTTTCGTATTTTATACTTTTTTCGCATCAAAAATTATAAATTTTGCTTTTAAATTTTTAGGGGGGATACATACTTGCGACATTCCTGCATTTTCTTTATTTTCATTTTTACGATTTTAAGCCACTGCTTCCGCCTGAAAATTCTCAAATCTTGAAATTCGTTTTCCCGCGAATCAGCTTACGTGGACATAAATCATTTCTTCACCTTAATCTTTAATTTGTTGAAACTCCGTAGTATATTTTCTATGTTTTTTCACATCCTTTAGGTTCACAAGACATTTAAATGGNTTACTCGTTACTTTTTAAAAGTAACGTTGCCATGTATGCATATATATATATATATACACATATATATATATATATACACGATTGTGCCGTGATTCTTGATTTCTGAAACAAAATAAGAAAAAAAATCTTTCCTATATCAAAGTATTTTAAACATATCTGAATGTATCTGAAGCGTTTCCAATATATGAAAATATTTGACGTTCTAAAAATAAATTATTAACATTTATTCTCAGAAAAAATAATCCTGATTATCCTGAAGAATGAAATGACTTAGATCCTTAAATAAAAAATTAATATATAAACATCCAATTTCAAATAGAAGTTCAAACTTATTGGCTAGATATTTCACGATCAAACCACGGAATATTTTACTGAGTGAAATACTAATTTGAATAGATTTTTAAAACTTTTTGAATCAAATATAGGAACAGCTATAGGTTTTTAGCAATTCATAACTTAAAAAAGATTTCACATTTTATCTTAAATCAAAAATTTGTATTGAAAACTATAAAAATTATTTTTAAAATATATCTTTAAATACTATATCTAACTATTTCGTTGAAAAATATTTTTTAACATTTCTCATTAAAATATTAACTTTAAATTAGTTCAAAATATTGATTATATTAAAAAAGACATATATGCTCTTTTTAGATTAGAAACAGGCTTACAACAATAGCTTGTTTTAACAACTAGTCCTGTTTGTAATTAATAAAAATTAAATAGTGCTTCCGATATTTAAAAAGTATTTTTTTTTTCAAAATTAAAAACAGCATACTAAGCTATGAGTCTCGTTTCTCACTTTATAAAACTAACAAGAGTAATACTAGGAGATCCACCAAATTAAAGCCAGTAATACTATAAACACGTTTGAATCTAATGCTTCTAGCAGATTGGTTTGCTAAACTTCATCTTTAAACAATGCAAAAGCTAGAAAATTTCAGAATGCTGAACATAAAGGAAGTAAAAATGTATTTTAAAAATAATTAATTGTTTTATTCTCGTACTTGAGGAATTTTAGCAGCTCGTGTTCTTTCAACTACAGCTTTCAGATTTTCAATTTTGTTGTAGCCATAACGAGACAGCTGGAAGCCCAATCCCCAATAAGGTGGCATCATCGGTCTTCCTATAAGCTAAAATATACATTAAAACATCAGGAAATTTTCAATTAAAATTTAAAAAATATTTCAAAAGATGATAGAACGAATCAGTATTAAAACTCTCAACGTAAACAACATCATAGATAATTAAATAATAAGCACTTACTGATGTGTATAACTGTACAACATGTTCCGGATTGTCACCGATAAAATAAAATAAATCCAAAACACCTCCAATTGTTCGAAATGATATCGCTGGAGCAGGCATCAAAGTAGCCTCTGCAAATATTAAATCAAAATTAATTTTAAAAAATTAATTTCAATTTTCAATTGAAAGATATTTTCAAAAAAATGTTTAATTAAGAAGTTTTTGTGTATTTTCTTTTTAAAGAATTTAAAAAAAGTACAACACAAGCTTTTGCCTTATTTTCTCTTCGTTTTATTCATCATTATCTATGGCTCGACAGCCCAAGATGGGCCTTGGCTTTCTCAAGACGTTTTTTCCCAGCTAACCTTTTTCCTGCTTGTGTTTTCCAATTTTTAGTTAAGACCAAAAGGTCCTTTTTTTTATTAATATAGTTTAAAAATTTATATTACAAAAATTAATTTAAAAAATACTTAATTTAAAAATTACTTAAATAATATTTATAATTAAATATATTTTATTATAATTTTCAAAAAAATGTCTTAGATTCCTCAACTATGACTATATTGCAAATGCTTTGTTTCTCGAATCAATTTTTCAATTTATTTTTTCGATGGAGAATCTGAAATACAAGTCTATTTGAGGACTACACAAAAAATATCAGATATAGGTTACTTCAAGATCGTTTTTCACTATTTCTTTAAACTGCTTCCTAATTTAGTAACACTTTTTAAATTAGAAACTTATTATGAAATTTGCGATCTTTATTGTGATGTTAATGAAATATTGCGATGTTTTCGATTTTGATACGTAATGCAAAACTTTTTTATCAAATTTATTTAAAAAATTTATTGTGAAAAACTCGCGTTTTTTTTCTTTTAATTTTGTAATTAGTATGATTTTAAAACAAATAAAAATGTGTGGTATTTATTATAAGCTTTTATTACTTTCTTTCAATTTCTCGGAATTTCAATTCTTTTGTGATAAAGACAAAAACTTTTTGACTAGAAAGTAGAAAAAAGTAGAAGATAAAGAGGTGTTCTCAATCATCTCCCTTTGTACACATTTTCAAAATCCTTCTCAAAAATAAAGTAAATAAAGTGAATGAATTCGGTGGAAAATTCGAATTTAAGTGTGACATATACAAAAATGTATAATAGTCTGCGCAATTTCGAATGAAAAAAAAAGATATTCAAAACATCGAAATGATTAATAATTATTCCAGATGAAGTTTGAAGGTGTCTTGAAAAACCTCCTTTCACATTCTCTAAGTTTATTTCGCATTATGAAAAAAAAGCACTGTCAAAACTACCAGAATAAGGTAACATTTACCGTATTACTGGCTATATGAAAAAAGCCAAGAAAAGCTCGATAATTTTACCAAAGCGCCTTGATAATGATGTTTTCCTTGTAAAATTAAGAATGAAGTATAGTTTTTATAAAATGTGATAATACTTCGCAATTATATCATGATACCTTAGAGCATGGCATAAAAACTATTTATTCGGTAAAACCAGTTTTTCATTTTACATTTTTTACTAAGTCTGTGGTAATAAGAACAATAATTTTAAAAACTAGAATGTCTGGTGAACCAAAACCATATAAAGAGAAAAATTTCCTAATGAATGGTTTAAGTACATATATTTTGATTTTAATAACCAGAAATATGCTTTTTTTTTCAGAAATGTCTCATTTCTATACAGTATGGTAATTTCTTTTTCCGTGCGGCTAACATATCTTTAGGTCTTTAATTTTGATTACCTCATTAAATGATTCGTCAGATTTTGATTAGGTTTTTGCTTTTCCTCTCACTTAAACATTAACAGCCCTAGTGTATATTTTTGGTTCATTTATGATAAGTATTTTAAAAAATATACCTTTAGAACGATAATAAGAAGCCTGCATATTCTTACCCATTGCATTGCTGTTTAGGAAAAGTACACCATGACTTTTAGAATTTTTTTCCAAGCAAGTATAAAATGGATGAACACCATATAAGTTTATTTGTCCCTATAAATAGAATATACATTTCAAATAATATCATTTAAAAGAGGAGACAAACCTTTAATTAAATGTCATTTATATTCAAATATAAGTTTAACACAGTTTTCATATCATAAAATAACTGTACTTAAAGATCTTTTCCAACTATGCATAGCTTGCTCGGAAAAAATATCAATTCGTTCCATTCTGACAACTCTTTCTTAGTGCGAAAATTTTTATGGCAATGAGTGTATGAAATTAACTGTAACATTGGTATTTCACAAAAAGTTTAAGTTTGATAGAAAACAATTTTACCTGGTCATTCTAGTGCAAAATAAACAATATTATAGTTAGCAGGTTGTGTAAATATATTAAATTAACTGCAATATAAAGCTTTTACAGAAAATCAAGGCTCGAAACGTGCTCCGTTTTTCAACTGAACAATAAACAATATTACAATTGTTAGTAAATTGTCCACAATGTAAAATTAACTGTAATTTGAGCATTTTAATGGAGATAAAAGTTTAAAAAAGAAGAATTTTACCCCCTTGTGTTTTTCGAGTTCTGAAGAATAAATAATTTTTTAATAGCTAATAAGCTCATAGGAAATTGATAACAATATGAAGAGTTTTACTGGAGATCAAAGTCTGAATAATTGGAAATTAGCTGTTATATGTAATATTTAAGGGAAGTCAGTCAGAGAACTATTGTGTCTTATTCTTTCTTTTTAGTGTACATTAAACAATATTACAATAATTGATAAGTTTTGAATAAAGTAAAAGTAACTCTAATATGGATACTTTGCAAATAATCTAAGTTTGAAAGGGAACAATGTTGTTGTTAAATTGACTCCTTTTAGGGCTAAACAATAAATAAATTTGCAATAATAAGTAGGAGCTGCAAATTTCGAAATTGATTACACTATTTCTATTACAAAACTTGAGAAAATTTATAAAGGAATTAGAATTAATAGAATACGCATTGTTGGAAGTATGTTGATGAAATTAATATCCAATAAATGAAGAGTGAAAAATAATTCATTTTTATTGCCTTTTGATAAGTAAAAGGACTTATATTAAAGAATAAAAATAATTTTGTCGAGGCAGCTTAAACAGAAATTCTGGAAGAGGCATAAGATACTTATTTATTTATTATTTACCTATTTTTTGAAAAAAAATTACGTTTGAGAAAAGGATTTAGCAATAACTATAAAATATTTAAACGCACATTATTTAGGAATCCGTTTATTATACTCTCATTTAACTCAGTTGGAAAAAAATCAATTTCAGTAACTATATATTAAATAGAAACATCAATTCAAATATAATTTCAAAAGCAGATAGCAAATATGAACTTTGTAAAGGAAAAAAAATTGACATATTTGTAGGGTTTTTTTTCTTAATCCAATTTAAAATTATTTGTAGAAAAATATATTTGCCAAAGTAAACTAATAAACAAGCAATTCAAGGTTTATTTTTGGATGAAGTAGAAAATGAAAATACACTCAATGATATCATCCAAAAAAATATATGTAAATATAACTATTTTTCACTTGAAAACCTTACTTAAGCCACTTGAGTTAAAATGCACTTTGATAATAAATAAATGATTAGATAAATAAAGTACTTGTTTTTGAGGGATAATATTTCAATTAAACGTATAATTTTAAATTGAATATTAATGCAATATTGCGTCTTACCTTAGATAGTTATTTATTAAATGTTTTAGATCGAATAAACATATATGTTAAAGATAAACCGTCGAAAACACTATCTTCAAAATGTTCTTTGTTTTTTCCTTAAATGAAAGTATCTCATCTTTAAAATGCTAAATTAACTTGGGTTGCATAAATTTTTTTTTAGAAACTCGTTTTTGAGGTTGAGAAAATGCAATATTGCAAGCGAAACTCTGTGCACTTTCCGACTATCTAGGGTACTTAAATCTCTGTTATACCTTCATTCTATAGGATAATGAAAGTTTCAATCATTTGCTTTCCACTATAATCTGAATTTATATCTTCATTAAAATCGAAATAGAATTTATCAATCCAAGCAGAATTTGTTATCAATCAAATTGTGGACTTTTTTCCTCGGACACTGCGTTTTATACTTCTTTCCCGAATAGCGGTAGCGAATTTTTTTTCTTATTCGAAGTTTCAATTAATTTCCAACTTAAACAAACTGACAGACTAAAAAGAAGAAAATAATAGAATAAAATAAAAATCTAAAAAAAACTTCGCTTTTCAAATAGACCAAAATGGGTAACATAATTTTATTTTGGTCGGAACTAAAATTAAAAATATACATAAGACACAACACACTTTTTTCCCCCAAGTCTTTTAAAAAAAGCTAAGCAATGCATTTCTCATTTCCACAACAAAAACGAATTTCTTTTTTTTTTTTTTTTGTCAATTTGAAGAGAAAAAAAAACTTTTTTTATTTTATTTTTTTATTTCGCTGTATTGCTTTAATTTTAAGTACTTGCAATAAATTCTTATAATGATCTTATGGAAAATTTTTAAATTATAGCAAAGTAATTTAAATTTCAACGATTAAATGTTTCAACTTAAATGTTTTACTGTACAAACTACAGAATTATTGCATAAAATAAGTTTTAGGGCCCGGTTCATTTCAAATTTCTGACATCAATGCTAAGTAATTTAAATCTAAATGATAAAGTTTCAATTTAAATGTTTTACCGTACAAATTGCATAATAATTAAAGCCTTTTTAGGGTCCGGTTCATATCAACAATAATCACTTCATAGACTTCACTTCATAAACAATTCATAGTACTTCAACTAATCCTAATTTTCTTTTAAGTTAATGTTTCGAAGCAAATTATTTCAAACCGAAAACTGCGTTCATTGTTTCATGAGAAATTTTATATTTAAAAAAAAAAACTCATTATTTTTTTATTAAATTGTCTATAAGTAAATGAAATTTAAACTTGTGTAAATTAAGATTTTAATTCACGTAATTAGTTAAACATATATGATAAGCGATATTCGTTAAGTGATATAAACACTAAAAAGTCTGAAGATTGTTGTATATCTAGAAAGTCTGTAGGAGCAGGTCTGGCCCTTCCCAGATTGTTGACGTGTAGATCAGTTAGACAGTCACACTCTTAAAATATAATCATAATTTAATTAATAGGAAATATATTAGTGACTTGGTCATCAAAATTCTATGGGATTTCATTTGATTTGAATACTGAAAGTATTTGATTACACTGACTTAACAATTATATTTATGCGTTAGTTTCTTAGATAATTAAATTCCTTTTTTCAATAAATAGTAATTGCAGATATGTTGAAAAAAATTTTTTTAATTCAAACTGGGACACGTTATACCTTTAAAAGGGTACCTTATACCCTAACCTACCTGGAGTTATGGACCACTCTGGCCCCTACAGTAATTCTTGGTATAAGGTTCTATATATCGTTCCTATAAGGCTAACACAGGAATGATTGGGCACTAAATTGGATCAAATTTTATTTTATTTTATTTTATAAATGGCGTTGAACAGCCCGACACAATTAAGAGTTGACAACTATCAATGTTCAACCCCGTAGCCTTGTAAGTTTGAACCCAATCCAGAAGACAAGGGAACTCCTAGATCAATTATTGGGAGAAACTATCATTCATGGCCAAATTTTTTATGAAACTAACCCGCATTTGTGTTATATGGAGAGGAAAACCACGAAACCCTCCCACGGTTACCCCGACAGCAAGGGGACTGTAGTCCATGATCCGTGTACTACTGGGTATATTTTACGCCAGCACTGTGGTCAGTGAAAGTCGGGTGCAGAATACATATCAACCAGTCATCGCTGGGATTCGAACCTGAATCGCCTGATTGGGAGTCGAGCACTCTATCCCCTGAGCACTACTGCTCAACTGAATCAAATTATGAAAAGTCAGGACTACTCAATATTTTCAGTATATTTTTTGAATTACATAGCAATAAAATTAAAGAGAGGCGCAAAAATAGTCCCAGTCGTCTTTCTAGTGTTGAAAAGGAAAGAAATAACAACTAACAAATAAATAAAAATAACATTAGGTGCATGACGTTTTATAATTCCTATTTTTAAATACATTTTTATCGCACTTCCTAAAATTCTATACATTTTTAAACATCAAGATTTGAAATCCGACAAAAAAAAATAGGAAACTTTTTGAAAGAGATAGCATTTATGCGCATGTTTTCATAAATCGTATATAGTTTCGCAACTTACTTAGGTGAAACAATCAAAAATTATTCATTGTCATTGGCATTGTATTTCTTTCTCTATTAACGCTTCACATGTTTTGATAATACAAGTGCGCGTTCTTATGCATCGATATTTTCTAGAAGATTGCGATTTATTAGCATTAACTAAAGCGGTATAAATTGCAAATTCATCCAGTTCCGCTACCAAATGCATTAATGAAAAACTAATTATATAATCTCATTATTTTATTCTTAGCTACTGCATTTTTTAAAGCAATTATTCAATTAATAATAAAGTTTATGCGTTAAATCAATCGATATCCCTTTAGAGTACTTTTAAATATTTTTACTTCAAATATTTTTACTTTAAAATATTTCCTACTTTTTCACTCTTTTTCAAACATCAGTATTAACCCTTTGCTTACGGTGTATCATCTGTACCATCACATGTGGTCCATATGTTGTACCAGCCGTAAGCAAATGGTTAATAATTTTCTTTACTGAGAAAAAAATATGGTTGAAACTACCAAAATGTGGTAACATTTACCATATTTCAGGCTCCATTGAAAAACCAAAAAAGCTCGATAATTTTTACCAAAGTTCTTCAGTAATGATTTTGGTGAAATTTACAATAAAATATTTATGCTTTAGTATTAAAATGTGATAAAAATTTGTCAAATTTAATCATTTTATAATACCTTAGAGCAGGAAATAAAGACCACTTATTCGGTTGAATTTACTTTTTAGTTTTGTCTTACTAAATGTGCGTTAATAAGAACTATAATTTCGAAAACCAGAATTTCCGATATACCGTTTCCATATGAACGAAAATATAGCCAAATGAATGATTTTAATACCGTATATTTGGGTTTCATTAACCAGAATTACGGTTTTCTTTTTTACCAGAAAAGTCATTACGGTACAGTAACTTTATAAGAATTTTTTTTCTACGTGTATATTTCACACAGACGGGTGTTCTAAAACAGACAGAATAATCAGAAAATCATTGAAAAGAAAGCGGGGTGTAATATAAATATACGATTTGCTGTGTCTAATTAGAAAACCAGTTATTTTATTCTCAGCAATTTTGAAAATGAATTACACAACTTGTCAGCAAATGGCGCTTGAAACTATTAGACAATGTTTTTAAAGCATTTGCAGTAACAGCGTGACTCAAGTTTGGACAAAAAAGAATTATAATGAATTACAATATACCCTCTCTGGAACCCTGTCTCGTGAAAACATGGGCCAAGAAACGAAGTTCAAATCATGTCTCAGTTTTTCCCGGGTGTGCTCTCCAAGTCCAAAAATGTAGTTGGATGGAAGATAGCTGGCTATTTGTAGATATTTGTCACTCATAACCAAACCTCCAATGCTAGTATCCCACCTGAAAAATAATAACTTATTAATTTTTTAAGAATTAACTGAAAATGAACAAGAGAAATTGTAGTTTTTTGCTACTTCAACTTTTGAGCATAGATAAACTGGTATTGAGATTTCTTTTGCCGTTTTCTTTAAGTTCTCTAGCTATCTCGTTATACACCGAAGAGCCATTGCATTATGACCAACCTGCTAATAACATGTAAGACCACCTTTAGCCCTCAAAAGGCTGCTAGCACCCACCGTGGCATTGATTCCACAAGGTGCTGATAGGTAGTCTGAGGTATCTGATACCAAGCACTCACCAACTGGTCCTGCAATTCCCTCACATTCCGAGGGGGTAGCATGGCATCGCGAATTTGGTTTTCCAAGTAGGACCACAAATGCTCTATTGGATTAAGGTCAGGTGAATTTGGGGGCCAAGTCATGACTTGAAAGTCACTGGAATATTCCTCGAACCAATCCATGATGATTCGACCCTTATGACATGGTGTATTATCCTGTTGGTAAACACCATCCCCCTCTAGAAGAACTGTTGCCATGAATGGGTGAACCTGATCTGCAATTATGTTCAAGTAGCTTACAGACGTCAGGGATTGTTCTATGAGGATTATGGGTCCTAATGTGCCCCATGAAAACATTGTTCCTGGGCGAGAAACCATGGGTGGTCATAATGTAATGGCTCTTCGGTGTACACTGCCAATAGTACTCGATTTTTACTAATAAAATATCTTCTCTGGTACAAGACTTGAATCAATATTATTTTTCTTCAGTTAAGTATCAATTATTACCTCAAGCGTGTACATTTTTTAAATCCATTTATGCAGAGGATTCTTAAAATAAAAATTAAAGGTAGTTTTTACGGAGCTTCTTGCATATAAATCACAAAACAATAAAATTTACATATATATTTGATCAGGGTTAAATATATTCGATGGAGAAATATTTATTAAAGATAAGAAAAATTACTATCATAAAACCAGAAAAAAAAATAACGGAATAAATGTTTTAGTATATTTAGGTACAAGGTGTCCAAAATAGATTGACTTTTTTCAAACAAAAAAATGGCTAAAAGTTTAAAAAAATGCAGATCATTTATGTGACGCGGCATATTTTTTCCCTCCCAGAATATCTTCAAGTATTCTTCGAAAGATGGTGTTGCAAATAGTTAAACGTTAAATTAAAGAAAGTTAATAATAAATTATGCCAAATAACAGCACGCCAAATTACGACATATGGGTGAGAATTATGGTCGATGTTATTGTAATGGGAGTTTTATCCATTAAAAAATTTCAAAAATTTATGGTGTGGTTTTAAATTACTTACCTTTGATTTACAAGTTTGCTACTTACAGCTCCATCTATTGAAAAAAATTTGATCTAAAACTCGAAACTCGAAGAAGGAATGTTTATGCTCTGCCACATAAATTTACTGTTAGATTTTTCTTAAATATTTTCCTATAATGAATTTTTACCATTTAATGTTTTAAAACCACAAGTGTAATATAGAGTAACCAGAAAATACTTACAGTACTGTTCCATCATTTCGTTCAATTCTGTAATTGAATTTTTGAGGAGCATCTGATAGAACTACTTTGTAGCTTAGTTTGCCGGTATTCACGGATGGCTTGTTTTGTAAAAGAGGGAATGTATCCTGAACTGGAACTTCGTAGCGTTTCTCTTTGCTATCCCGAAGCTGCAAAATGAAATATTTTACTTCAAAATACTAAAAAAACACAGGTAACAAAAATGCTAAAGTGATTTTGAGACAAAACAGAATTAGTTTTTATTGAATATTAAATTATTTAATTTATATTTCAAAAACAAATATTTCCAAATTATGAGTCAAAACATCATCAAACCATCATTTATAAATCGAAAAGCATCAGAGAAGAGTTAAAAGGGGTTTACTACTATCAAACTGGTTTTGATATTGTTAACCCCAGCATCCTTAATAGTGATTCGACTGATACCGTTTTTGTCTTTTCCCTTATTTAAATATTAATTTGCTCTCCCTAAGGTGTATATTTTTTTCCCACCTTTCTGCCAAGGATTCTAAAAATATTAAAGATAATCATTACGGAAGTAAAATTGCAAGTAAGTAACGATAATGTAATGCATGATAATGTAATAAAACTTACGATAATTACGATTTTGGGGGAAATCTTAACTTTTTGTATCCATCAGACTAATTTTGGAATTTATACTGATTTTAGAATTCAAATATTACACGAAAGATGCTGTTCATCTTTTTCTGAAAGTACACTTTAATTTTAATATAAATTCGTTCTTGTAAGTTAAACTAAGTTTAGATATCAAACGAAATATCAAACAAATATAGTTAAATATCAAACAAATATTATTTCTTTTCTAAATCAGCTGCTTTCATTTTAAACACTTTACCAAAATATTGAAGCTTTTTTAACCAAAAGTATTTTTTAAAACATATAACAGAAACAATTAATGGCACTTTCTGGAGTAGGATATGTTAAAATGTTGATATGCAGTTGTTGGCATGAGTGTTAAATATCAATTTTCTTATACTAAATATAGTTCATAAATTGAGTGAAAGTCTTCCCCGGCATATTTACGCAATTTTTAATTGAAGATTTTCCTATAAACATTGTCATTTGTGGACAACAGCTGCAGTTTCTATGGGAATGGCCAAATGTAATTATAGGTATTTTTGAAGTAATATGAAAATCATTCATAAGAAATACCGAATGTCTCAAAAATAACCGACAATTTGAAAAATCTGATGGAAAATGTATGGTTTGCTGAATGCCGTCTATGAAACAATGATTATGACTCTCACCAAGTTCTAAACTTAGTTCCTAAGTTTGTCAGCAGATGTCGCAGCTAACTATTAAAAATATGCTTCCCTAACAATGTTAGTCCAACCAAACTAAATTATTTGCTTTTGTTAAAAGACTACGTCACGTTATTGTTGAAAATTATCACTATTCTGAAGAAAAAAATTACTATTTTTATTATTCGCGATCGCAACGCTCGAGTACGCCGTCTAGCGGGAGCCTGTAAATATCAGACATTAATTTATCACGTTTTCATTTAGTTCCATCGAAATCATTGACAGAATCAGACGCCATTTTTTAGCAGCAAATAAGAAACAAAATTTCCCTAAGGAAAAGGCCGAAGAACTTGAAAAAAATCTCCAGAATATTAGTAAATCTTTCAGGAACAGAACACGCCAAACATTNCCACAATAAAGAAGGAACGTTGCAATGCTACGTGCTACATTAACGACGTCTCTAGAGTAACTGAATAACTGTTCATATAGAAATAGCAGGTATTAGTCTCATACAACAACGCCCCCTATAATTCGTTGCGATAGCGAATTTAGTTTCACCGTCTGCTTAAAAATTTTGAAGCAGATTTTAAAAAACTAACAAAATAACTTATTTCCAAAGCAAATGCAGTGAACCATACATTTCTATGAACTTCCAATTTTCTTAAATAGATTTTTTTAATCAATGGTCACTTTTGCGACACTCATAAAAAAACATATTAAAATGCATAGCATCTAAGATTACAATGCAGTTTAAATTTCAAATTGCATCTTACTTTGACTCTTAAAATATTTTCTGTAATGTAATCAACTTCTACGGTGATTTCTTCGAGACTGGGTCCATAAGGTGTACCTTTTGATCTGCTTTTTAATTTGCTAACAGAGCCCTTATCTTTTTTCGTGGTTTCTGTTAAAGTGTATCCATAATCATCTTTCTTCATATAACAACTCGGTCCTTTTTGAACTTTTTGAAAACTGCAACCATGTTCAAGACATGCGGATTCACCTGCAATTGTTGACAAAGTATACGTTAATTTTGCATGCAGCGTAATCCTAAGATTTCTGTCCTAAAAGTGTACGTAGTCCTTACCCTAGGATTATGAGGCATAAAAGAGACATGTATTAAAAAGCAGCACTACCTAACAAATAGCGCAAAAAGATTGGGTTGAACAGAATCAAACAAATCTAAACATGAAGTAGATTCGGTTGCAGTTAATTCCTCGGAAACGACCGATCAAACGTAGAGAAAAATACATTTTCGTGTTACATAATCTGTTCAGAACATAAATATCAAGATTTATCTTTTTAATTGGAAAAAAACAGCAACGAGAACTCATCCAATATTATTGAAGGTGTACATTTTCAAAAAAATTGGTTCGATGTTGAACCTTAGTATCAGTACCAAGAATCATAATACAGTGCAAAATTTCAGCAACTATATTTAGGTGTTGAATTGAACCGCATTTTAGTTCAAATTGAATCATGTTATTGTGAAATCAATTTTAAGAAGCCCCATAGTATATTTGAATAAAGATAGGATATACTTTGCGTAAGTATGAATAATGGTAACTAACGCGAATAAGGCGCAAATAATTACACAAAAATGGACACATTCTCATCATAATTAGTCATTTTAGTCAATTTGTGTTTCGACACAGTGGCGTACGCAAGGGAGGGGTTTAGGGGTTTTAACTCCCCCCTCGAGCTCAGACAAAATGGTAAAAATGAAAATTTTAGTAGAAGTAATTTTAGTAGTTTATTTGCCTTATGCCTACTTTTTTTTCTCACGGTATTTCTCAGAACACTGAAAAAACATTTACTATAATAGGGTTGTACTTTTGAAACCAAATTCACCTGATACTGTTACGGACTGGTTTCTTTGTGTCCTGCCAGTCGCGATAATTTTCGAGACTGGCTTTCATTCGCGAAGTCTTTACGCGATGATTCTGGAATCCTATACGTTCTGTCGTGTTTGAGACAATTCGAGAATTTTGGAGTTGCGATGAAAATTTATATAAAAGAGGGAACGGAGAACAGTGGAGTTTATTAGTCAGACTAAGAGTTATCTCTGCCGTTTGTCTTTCGGAGCTCGTTGCTAAATCTGATTTGTTTTGTCTTAACAAAAAGTTCATTCAATCGCCGAACCTGTCATCGTCGTTATTTCGACTAGTGAAGAAATCAGTAACAATACTATTGGAGATACTGAGCTCGTTGAAGTTATTCATTCCAGCTCGAAACTTTAAGATCGTAGCATAGCGGATATTTCTGCGCCAATATATATATTTGCTGTTCTTGGATCTTTAGAATGTCAAAACGAAAGAATTTAACAATTTATAATTATTTTGAGAAAAATTCACGACCTGAAATTTGTGAGGTGACAGCATCTAGTACCAATGTAAGTTTTTCTGTTGAACAGAAATGTAACACTTCCGTTGAAGAAAACGTTTCTAGCACATCAAAATCTGATGAATGTGAAAGTGGCCCTCAAAGTGTTACTTCCCACCCATATGACATTGGACTTTTTTCAGAAGATATTACATGCGAGAAGATATTACATTATGTTCTTAAACTTAAAAAATCAAATCAAAATTTAACTAAACAATGTTGCCTAAATAAAAAGTCAAATTATCTAGCTGTCTAAATTAGGGAAATAATAGTGCTTTATTACATACTCGAATTTCTTTTAGTAGTTTCAGAAAATCATGAACACCCCCCTTAAAAAAATTCTGCGTATGCCACTGCTTCGACACTGAGAAAACTAAGTTCATGGAATTGAGAGTTTGTGCTTTATACAAGTTTGTTACCGTCATTCTTACTGCAATGTGTGGTTCAAATTAGCACCAGATCAAGATTTCAGAAAATATTGCAGCTCATCAAGATCCAAAATTTCTCTAACATTGTATGAAAACGGTAAAAAAAAAATCTCTTTACAATTAAAATTAATCAAAACTTAGACGATGAAAAGAAAACTATTGATGATTTGCAACGTTTAAGACCATTATTAACAATTTCAAGCAGTTAAAAAAATTATGGTAAGAAAGGAGTTAGAATTTTTTCTAAAATTACTTACTATCAAATCCAGGACATTCTATTCTATCTGACTCACCAACAGCAAGATCTTTTTTTGGTAAAAATACAATCAAGAGTGTGATGGAAACAATAATAATGAAAACAGTGATGCCACCAAGCATCATCTTCCGAAACCTTTTACTGCTCTCTTCATCCTATAAGTCATAAAAATAATGTCTAAATTCTAAATGCATTCAAGTCTTGTACCATAGAAGATATTTTACTAGTAAAAATCGAGTACTATTGGCAGTGTACTAAAAAAATGAGCGGACTACCCTCAATAACTTCTGATCTAATGATTGAATCTTCACTTTCTAGAACTCAATCTTAAGGGTTAGAGGGGGTGATTTTTAATATGCTAAATAATTGGCCCATACGATATTTGAATGTTACGAAATCAGACACAGAAACGTACCATCTCTGAATAACCATACCATTTTTTGACGGATTCGGATTTCTGATCACCAAGATATAGGGGGTAGCCACTGGGAAATATCGTCCCATTAGTTTGATCAGGCGAACGGTAAAAAATTTGGACCTCTTAATGTCAATTTTACTTTTTGCGTATTTCACCATACCACAAGAACTTTTTAAAAAAATTGAAAATTTTTTTAAAAAATCGTATTTTTTAAATATAATTACTCTGGAACTATTCAGCAGATTTTGCTCAAATTGTGTATTTCGTTATGTAAAATTATATTCCTAAAAAAAAAAATTTAAAAATGGTGTACCTTAATATTCAAAATTTTTTCAACTATTTTTGAACAAATAATGAAAAATATATAATGTTTACTAAAAGTTATTTTTTGCATGAAATTTTCTTTGGATAAACAAATTTTATAATTGTGTGCAACAATTTTTCAATTTTCTAAAAACGTTCTTGACATATGGTTAAATAAACAAAAAGTAAAATTAACATTAAGGGGTTCAAGGTTTGAATCGCTCTCCTGACAAAGCTATTGACACCATATTTCCGAAATTGTGTTGTTCACTATATTTTGAAGGGTCGAAAAAAAGTATGTTTATTTCGTACATTTTCTAGTCTGATTTCGTATTTTAAAGTATCATCTTCACTAATTGATTAGCATATTTGAAGTCCCCTTCTTGAATTATTTAGATTGAGTGCAAGAACGGGAAAATTCAGTCATTAGATCTAAAGTTATTCAGGGAGGACCGTTTCTCATTTTTCCCACTGTACGTGTAATTTTCTTTACAATTTTACCGTTTGAAGTTATTTTATGTATGAGGCCTACTGTGTACCACGTAGCTGTGTCATTTTTCTCACCCAGGAAGATTTTCAAAAATATTAAATAATCTAAATAAGTCAAAATTCATACTAAAATTTAATAAACAAATATTAACGTCTATCAGATAAATGAATAAAATTTTATATATATATATATACACTGGTTATCATAAATTAAGGAAAATTCACAAAAATAGCGATAGCTCTTTCAAAAGTAAGCCAAACCGTGCAAAATTTGCATATGTTGTCCACTAAGAGTAGCTGAGTAAAATTGCAATATGCAAATTAGTGGCGCTGCACTCGGCTTACGTCATCTGCCTGGAGCATAAAAGTCCAAGTTTGAGAGAAAGCACACAAATTTTACTGTGATTGCGACATTGAAAATCTGAGATAGCCAATTCGTAATAATGACCTCTAGGCATCATTTGCCTGAAGAACTACGATGGAGAGCCATCGGGAGACTAGAGGCAGGGCAGAGTCAATCAGAAGTGGCCAGATGGCTAA